TTTGTTATTGCTCATTATGTTTGTGTTATGCCAAAGTACCTATAACGCTGCCTACTGTTCTGTATGCTTTTTTTCTTTTCCTCTGGGTGACCTAATTGATATGTTAATCAATGCTCTCCTCTGTAAACAATTGTAAATCCCTAAAAATCTTACCTAATTGATATGTTAACCATTGTTGCCCCCCTACAAATAACAGATGTGGTGCTAGAATAAGCTGACAAAGAATTATTAATTACTGCTAGACTACTCTATCCTCTGGTAAGGAAAACAAAGGTTTTCCTCATTAGCAGATTTCCTGATCCATGCCCATAACCCCTTACTTTATAAACTGTGGTATGTACATAAAGGCTGCAAGTATAGAGAAACAACACACAGCTTTTGCAATCTCCAACTGCACTGTGCCACTGGGCCCAGGATAAAATAAATTAGCGCTGCTTTTTTTGTGGGGGATGAGGAGTCACTTTGAAGGCCCTGGCCCCCTTGGGACCTGCAGTAAACAATAGCCCCCGGTATGTGAGACAGAGGCGGGACAGGAATGCCTGTTCTCAGTGGGGATGTTCCCCCCCTCTGAACCCATGCTGTGTGCCTTGGCTTTGTTTACAGAGTCATGAGGAAGTGGTCGACCACCATTGTGACACTAGGAACAAACATAATTAACAACATTCTTGGGCTAATGAAGTTCCTCCTGGGTTAGAGGGGCTAGAAGAACTGGTTTTGCTTGTTTGCTCCACTTAGATAGTTTAGATAAACATTGTAGTCTGTCACATTGTAGCTTGTCACAAAGAATGCTTTTTCAAGATATTCGTCTGTGCTCTGTGAGTTGATCCAGTTTACTACATAAGAACCCTGGAATAAAGACTTAGCGTGCAGTGCAGTGCGGTGTAGTTGCAATTGCTGTGTCTCTCTGTTTCTTTTCCTCGCACTGCACCCCCCGTGTCCCGACTTGGTGTGTGTGTGTCTCTTCCCGGGGTTCAGAGTGCACTAGACACTCCCGACATTTTTTAAAATATGTTTTTGCCTCATTTTTTGAACTCGAGTTTGGGGGCTTGTTTGTGGATTACAAGATTTGGGGGCTTGCTCGGGATTACTGGGGGATCCCCCCAAATTATTTTTTCACCAGTTGTTCAGCTAAACATCTGTAAGTATTTGTTTTTTGGTTTTTGTTTTTTTGTTTTTTTTTTTAACCTGTTTGTAATCTGAGTGCACACATTTATAACTGCAGATAAAATGAGACAACTTCTGGGGCCCTTTTTCCCCTTTTTGTATTTTAGGGCTTTTGGGGCCCATTCATAACTTTGGACTTTGGTCCATGTGGGGGTTTTTGCCCGTTTGTAATTGGATGTGCACAGTGACTGCAGACGAGCTAGGGCTCCTTCTGCACCGGACTTTGGGGGCTATCGCCCGTTTGTAATGTGGGGGCTTAGGCCCATGTGTAGGGCTTAGGCCCGTGAGTGTGGCGTAAGCCCATATGTAGGGCTTAGGCCCATGTATAGGGGTTAGGCCCGTGTGTATAGCCTAGGCCCAATTGAGGGCTTAGGCCCGTGTGTGTGGCCTAGGCCCGTGTGAAGGGCTTAGGCCCATGTATAGGGGTTAGGCCCATGTGTGTAGCCTAGGCCCAAGTGAGGGCTTAGGCCCGTGTGTAGGGCTTAGGCAAGTGTGTATGGAAGAGGCCCGTGTGGGGGACCTAGGCTCATGTAGGGTGTTGGGGCCCATTTGTGTTCCTTTAGCTTGCCAAACTGAGGACAAAAAAAATTTTTGAACTCGAGTTTGGGGGCTCATTTGTGGATTACAAGAAGAAACAGATCTTAAGTCTGATTCTTGGGGCTCCAGGAAGAGCTTGATGAAGACTACACCGACCTGCTATTGCTGCCACAGGCCAGGCCACTTCAAGAGGGACTGCCTTAGGAAGCCCCCAAAGCCAGTCCCTGATTGTAAAAGGTGACCACTGGAGGTCAGACTGCCCTCTGAGGCCAAGATCTCAGAGTTCAGACCCCTCCTATCAGCTGGTCTAGCAGGACTGAAGCCTTGGGACACTGGTCTCTCTTCCGTCTGGCCAGACTATTATCTCTGCTTGTCATCTACACAGAGTATAGTATAGATCATCTTGAGGAAGTCAGGAGTCACCTCCCAACCCCTACAGGAAGAGTCACTAATCTGTAAGAATGCCACTTACTATGTGACTCACGTCCCCATTTGTCCCTGATTTGGTCAATTTTACCTCAACAATTAATCTTATTGGTTGACCATAGTTCTGTCCCACCTCATGCCCATCTGCCTGGCAAGTTCCTATGTTTTCTAAATTTTGGATGCATCTCACCTAGTGGTTTTACTCCATAAAACTCCCTAGAAAAGACAGTCTTTGGCAACCCACTTGGTACACCTGCTGACTCTCTCCCAAACAGAAGCTTTCTTTCTCTCAATAAATATATTATGCCCCCCTCAAAAATATATATCATTATGATATATTTATATTGGTCACTGTCAAAAGGTTAAGTTTTCTAAAAATGAGGCGATAAAGTTTTCTGATTAAAAGATGCTCTTACTTGGGAGGCTGAAGCAGGAGGACTGTTGCAAGTTTGAGACCATCCTGGACTACAAAGTGAGCTCAAGGCCTCCCTGAACTGTATAGCAACACTCTGTCTCAAAATGGCAAAAAAATTTTTAAATAAAAGGTGCTCTTGGTATAAAATTAAATTTAAAGAAAAAATTTTCATACAGCATGACAATTCATTATTGCTGATCTCATGATACATTAAATGTATTCATGCCTTCCAGGTCTTCTAAAACATAAAACAGATTATTTATGGTGATAAGTCTTTTCTTTCAGATTCAGATATCTGCCTTTCTCTGTGCTCTAGTTACTTCTGATAGGAGATTCATGCCAAGCCAATATGAGCCCACTTATCAACAATTAATTTCAAAAGGGAGAAAAGGTTTGTATGATGTTTATGTTACACATGTTATTAACATTTAGAGATGTTTAGCTATTAAACAATCCACACACTGTCACAAACGTCTTCAATAACTTTCCACTAATGGACAGCAAATTAGATAAGTGTTTCCTATGTACTCACAAGTTTTCTTTGTAAATTACAATTGTTGTCTGTTGACACTCTACAAGGATTCAACTAGAACAACAATGGTTGGTAAGAAATAACAGTCTTCTGGCTGTACTTTGTATTTCAGAATGCTTAATATCCAGATAAAATTCTATTTATTTATTTATTTATTGGTACCAGGGATTGAGCTCACGACCTTATGCTTGCCAGGCAGATGCTTATGCAGCTGAACTAAATCCTTGGCATCAGATAAAATTTTAATAATTAAGCTCACTGCTCCCACTACAATGTAATTTTATTAACTTTCCCTTCTGGGTATTCAACATCTGAGCTTTAGAGACCAAAACTAGAAAGATAGATGGGCTAAGAAGACAGCCAATATTTTGGCCTGGTCTTCCCAAGATCAACAAGGTCCCAAGACATGAGCCTGGACCACGTAGTGAGATCAAGGCAGTCTGAACTACATAGTAAGATGCTGTCTCAAAAAAAATTTAAAAAACCAGTAAAATAATTAGAAAAGTCATACAGAAATCATGTTTAATCAGTTTGACTTCATCATAGGCACAGAGGACTGAAAGGCCAAAACCTTAGAGCAGAGTGAACGTGACATGTGATATCACTTTCTGCTCTGCGGTTTGACCAGTTTGAAAGTACAGAGCAACTAAGCCTGGGCAGAAGTTTGACGGAACTACAGCAATCCTGGCTAAGAGAACAAAGAGGAAGAATAGGAAAAGTATACGCCTGGGGCCTAAAGGGTTTCAGTTAGAACTATAGCCTAGAGGTAGAAGAGACTTGAAAAATGAGCACCCTTTACAAAAGTCAAAGCACCGCTTTGAAACAACCCTATCTCTGACTAAGGCAACCCATCCTTAACCATCTGCCAGAAGCAAAAGTAAATTCCCCAGAGAAAGGTAATATTAACCAGATCTTCAAGTCACCTGTACCACTGTCCTTGTGAAATGTCCAGTATCTATTCAGAAATTATTAGGCAGGAGACAGGTGTGGTGCCACATACCAATAATCTCTTCTACTCAGGAGGCTGAGGCAGGAGAATCATAAACTCAAGGCCAGCTTTAGCAACCCACCAAGACCCTGTCTCAAAATAAAATTTTAAAAAGGGCTGGGATATAGCTCAGCAGTTGCTGGGTTCAATGCCCAGTACTAAAAACAAACAAATTGAAACATTCACATCTGGATCAGATCCAGAATATTCAAATAACTCACAAAAATCATTAAGAAAAAGGCAGATAACCCAAAAGCATGAAGAAAAAAAAAGCAAAGATATCCAAACAGCAAAGAAACATAACAGGATCTACCAAAATTACAGTCAGGTGATTCAGGCTCTTGAATAGACACACACTGTGTGTAAGAATTTCATAGAGAAGTAAAGTAAGTGGATGGGAAATGCATGGATAGATGGTTACAGCTGGATGAGTTAACTTGAACAAGACCAGATCTAAGGCCTTTGTGAGAACACCAAAATAAATGTTGGTTGGTCTAATTTAAATCCAAAAGAACAAGTAAGGCCAGGGATTTAGCTCAGCACTCGCCTGGCAAGCACAAGGTCATGAGTTCAATCCTCAGTACAACAAAAAAAGCAAGTAAGGAATCAAAGGAAATAACCAAGCTCATAGACAGGCAGCACCCACTACGATCCAACGGCTCAGGAGGCTCCCAGTTCAACCACAACCTGAACAACTCAGCAGACCCTGTCTCAGAACAAACAGACAAACTGAGCCAGCCAGAGCAAGTTCGTGACAGCCTGTCCCAGAGTTTAAAAAGGTGAGGGGTATAGTTCAGCACTCCCTGGGGTCGATTCTCAGTAAGCAAACAAAAAATTCCAACCCAAAAACAGTGAGGTGAGGGAAGGAGGAGGCCCAACTCCCTAGCCCTCAGCTCCTGCTCAGGAGGCTAGCGGGGCAGGGACAGAATGGTGGTTACCGCATCGATTTCATTGAGGACCTTCCACTGCTCATAGGGCACACCCAGCGCCTCTGCCGTCTGGATCGTCCTCTTCATCTGGCTCGTCCAGACCTTCAGATCCTTGATGTTCTGGTCACTGATGAACTGAGCCAGGCGCTTGGCAAACTGAAAGGCATAATGAGCCAATTGAGACCGCAGGTTTGGAGCAGCCCTCCAAAGACTACAGAGACAGAGCTTGCCCGGTCCTCCAGCCTCCAGACCACAAGCTAATCCTGTGCACTCCCCAGAGAGAGACAGCTCCAGCCATGCCTCCTCAGTCCCCTATGGCAGTCCACGTGCCCTGGCCCACACAATCTCCCCATAAGGCTCCAAGACTCCTTAGATCGTGGCACAGCTATGAGCTCCACAGCTGTGGTCACTGCAAGGATAAAGTGACTCTGCCAGCAAAGGGCCTCATGTGGAGACCATAGATCCAGGCATGTGCTTGGTGCTTGGGACCTTTCCTACAGAGTAAGAACACTGAGACTGAATGAAGGCCAGCACGTGGACCCTAGCTAGACAGGTCCTGTACACACAGGTCCTGTACACACACATCTGTACACACACATCTATCTATCCAGTAACCCCTGAGTACCACTGAACAGATTCATGCACATACAACACACACACTGACCTCCCGGCCCCGCGGGGACAGTCCTGGGTCCCCACCAATCCGGCCCTTGAGGTTGAGCTCACTCTCCCCATGCCGGCAGAGGTAGATGGACCGGGGCGTCACATGGATGTTCATGAGGTAATACACGATCCGGCTCTGGATGTGGTCGGCTACTCGGTTCACCACATAGCTCTGCCCCACGTCCATGATTTTGATATATGACAGATCCCTTTCCAGAGAGAAAGCAGACAGAGGCCTGTGAGTGGAGCCAGGGCCCTCAGAGCACATCTGGCCCACCGCAGCAACCAGGAGCAAGGTCTTGCATCCATGAACACTGGGCTTGAGTCACAACACACAGGACCGTCAGCCGATATGCAAGTGATGGTGGGAGGCAGGAGCAACATGCCAATGTGACACACAGACAGGCCCTGTGAGAAGTGCTCAGCACTCATCATGCTTCTGGAGGTGACATCCAAAGCAGTGACCAGCCATGACTGCTACCGCTGCTCACACGTGTCCAACCCTTCCTTGTCTATGCCTGAGCTCTCAACACACAGGCTGCACACTGAACACAGAGCCAGCTTCCACAGGCTGGCCTAGGAGTGGCTGGCAGTTGAGTTCTTGGTCAGCTCTCCTGCCCCTTGTGGTCCCACCCAGCCCAGATCACCCAGGTGTGCTGAGCAGCTGTCACACCCCACACCAGGCAGGGAGTGCACAGGACCATGAGCCTGGCTCGGCTTTCTCTCTGCCCTGGGCCGTGGCAGTGCTGCAGCTGGGAGAGCTCACTTATGCTGGCAGGGGTAGGGCCAACTCCAACTCAGCCCCAGAGCATCCAGATGGTCCCCTCTGGGTCTTTATTGTGTGGACCATTTGGTCTCAATCTAGGGTCAGTACCTTGACACCACCAGAAAAAACAAGGGCCAAGTTTGCAGGAGTTGCTCCAGACAAGACCCCGCTAGTGCAGCCTTGTCACAGAGCAATGAGAAGAAACAGAAGTGGGGGGCAGACAAGGAAAAGCACTGAAACCAGCAGGGGCCCAGGGTCATTCTGCTGGACCCCAACCTGGGCTGGCTCCTGAGCCCAGCAAACGGGGAGGGACAGATGTCTCGTCCCATGGCGGTTCAGGGACAATTCTGCCATAGCCCCTCATAAGCCTTCCCTCTCATGGCTGTGTGTGTACCTTGGTTCATACTCATTACACACTCTTCTGCTATTATAAAGGACCCAGGTACACATTTCTATCTCAGTCTTCCACTTAGTGCTATGCAATGTAGGTATCCTCATGTCTCTCTGTAGTTATAATTTACAAGGATGGTATAATATTTTACCAAGGGCTACACTGTTATTTACCTAACCCCTGACCACTTATGCTGAGAGACAGGAGTTGGCCAACTATGGCCAGCAAGCCAAAGACAGGCTACAGGCTGCTGGCACAAAGTTTTATTGGCACAGAGCCATGCTCATTTATTTACATCCCGTTTCTTTTGTACTTAACAATAGCAGAGCTGACTAACACGAAGACCATAAATCCTCCAGCGCCTAAAGAGTCACCCTATGACCCTTACAGAAAATGCTTGCTGACCCCACAGCCAGACACTCCCATGGACCACTCCGCCCTCCTGCTCTGCTCTTCCTGTCTGCAGGAGCAAGCGCCATCCCACCCCCACCCCCTCGCAGACTGCACAGAGACATGAGCATGTGATATCTGCAATGCCCCAGAGGTCCCTCCGCACAGAAATCAGGCTTGATTCTGTGCTGGAACAGTAGGCAGTCCTGACTCGCAGTTCCAGATGAGGTAACAGGTGTTCTGCAAATGACCTCTGGCCAATGATCTCTGCCTCAAGGGAAGAAACAAAAAGGGTCAGATGGGTTCTGCTTCCTGGTGTGGTCCCCAGTCACCACCACAGGGCAACCAGAAGGAGGCAGCTAAACACAACCCCTGCCCGCAGTCACCACGGCTGTGCTCCTCTCTCACCTGTCCAGGTCCTCATCCAGAGACTCATACGAGTTCTCATAGCACTCGATCCGTCTCATGAAATCCTCAGTGGCCTCATCACTGTCGCGGTTCACGTAGTCAGGGCTGCCCAGCTTCACTTGCTGCCACACCCAGGCACACAGGAGGAAAGACACATCAGAGTCAGAGGCCAAGCTAGGCCAGAGATCCAGGAGACAGCTGGGCAGGGATGGGGAGGCTGGGCCAGGGCTGGGGCTGAAAACTGAACTCAGGACACTCATGTGCAGACTCAGCCCAGAGGGCTGCTGGATGCTTCTCCCAATGCAGCGTCCAGAGTCCCTCACTGTTGTGGTCAGGAAGGCCTTGAAGCCTTCCTTACGATGTCCCATCTCCCCAAACCCACATGGTGCTCTCTTCAGAGAGAGCAAGGGACAGAGTCAGGAGTGGAACAGAAATCTGCACCATTCAGCTCTGGCTGAAGCTCCTCTCCTGCCATCGGGGGAGAGAAGGAAGAACAAGAGGGCCAAGCAGGCTGCCATACAAGTGACCCTCGGGGCACAGGCTCTCCTGATCCATGCTGGTGACTAGACTGCTTCTCCACTCCACAAGGTTCAAGAAACCCAGATGAAGGGCAGCCAGGCATCAACCCAAAGGACATCACTGTCAGCTCCTACTTCATTACCGTCCCCAACAAGGTCAGATGTACACTCACCACAATGTTGGCAGCTATGACCTCAGGATCCACGCAAATGGACTCAACAAAGAAGGTCTGAAACAAGGGCCAGAATCACCCCGGTAGGCAGGAAGAAAGGAACCCCGGGCCTTGTTCCCAGCACTTTCTACTCCCTCCGGCCTTTCCTCTAAGGAGCAGGGCTAAAGACCACGGAACTGAAGGAGATCCCACACTGATCAGGACCCTCGCATCAAAAGAAAAGTCCAAGAGAAGAAGGACAGCCCCTCCCACCCCAAATGTGACATCTGGAATCCAGGCCCGCCCAAAGCCTTGCATGCATCAGAAGGAGGTAAAAAGACCTCCTGAAGGCCCGGATGTGCCCAGCCAAGGAGGGGCACCGAAGAGGCCTCACCTTATAGCCATTCTGTTCCCCAAAATTAAAGATGGTCGCTCTCCGCTCTCGAGTAGTATTGGTTGCATCAAAAACCTAGGACAAACTGACATTAACTCAGCTCTGGCACTGGGAAGCAGGAGGCACTTGAGGGCCACAGCATGAGCAGCTCTTGCTAGTGCTGAGCTTCTTACCAGGTCCAACTGGGCCACTACCCTGGCCAGTCTCCTCCAGACTTGCACAGAGGAACACTTTCTGCAGTGCTGTGCACATGGCAGTGCTTCGTGTGTGGCCAGCAGAAATTCCAAAGAAACCAGTTAACCCTGGCACTGTGGCTTAGACGTGGCTGATCACCTGAGATCCAGGTACAGTAGTGCCCCCAAGAGGGCTGTGAGAAAAAGGTAAGCCTGAGCCATCCAGTTCTCTGGCTTATGCCATTCAGATGTGACCTTATCTTCCAGTGCAGGCTCCAGCCATGATGCCATGAGATCCTCAACAGAGGCTGAGCCAAGGAAGCTGCCTGAGTCTGAACTCGATTTCTAAAACTGGGATCTAAAAAACCTTTTTTCTCTATAAAGTTGTCCCTCTCAAGGATTTTGTTACAGTAATGAGAAATAGCCTAATGTCTGGTGAACTGAATGTCCCCATATTTATAATCCATTCTGAAACTCCAGTACAAGGGAACAGAGGACAAAGAGATGGAAATGGGCAGGAGATGGAAATGTCAAAAAAATGTAAAACAGACACCTAGTAACCAACTAAAAGAATCAAAAGGGCGGGGATATAACTCAGCAGCGTAAGGGACTGCCTGGCCAGCGCAAGGCCCTGAGTTCAATTCCCAAGACCAAAAAAGAAAAGAAAGAAAGAAACAGAAAATAGAGGTGGGAAGATCATAGTTCAAGACCTTCCTGGGCAACTTATCAAGACTATGCCTCAGAAAAACAAAACAAATAGAAAAAAACAAAAACAAAAAACAAAAGTGGACTAGAGATGTAATTTAGTGACATAGTACTTTCCTAGCACGTGGGAGACCTGGCTTTAATACCCAGTACTGAAAACATCAACAAATAAAAAAGGGGGGCATCAATCAGGTTCCCTGGAACTCCAGCAAAACTTCTCACAAGAAAAGTAGAGACTAAATCAATCAAACCAAAAAAAAAAAAAAAAAAAAAGAAAGAAAGAAAAAAACTTGGAGGGCATAAAAAAACAGGACACAGAAACAGGACAAAAAAACCCTACAATCATTACTCAAAAAGACATATGAGCCAGGCATGGTGGCACATGCCTATAATTCCAGCACTTAGGAGGCTGGGGCAGGAGGATCACTATGAGTTTCAGGCCAGCCTGGGACACACAGTGAGCTCAAGGTGAGCCTGAACTACATAGGGAGACCCTTTCTCCTAAGTAAATAAATAAAAAGTGCAAAGAGAGATATGAAAGGATATAGTAACCATTAAAGAATAGCATTCTAAAAATTGGAATACTCACTCAAGGATGATCACTGAAATTAAAAAGAAAAACTCAACCAAATACTTGTCAGATAATGTTGAGAAAATCTCTCTCAAAACAAAAAAAGACAAGGGAAATGAGGGGAAAGATGAAAAGGCCTGAAAGACCCACCACAAGGCACACTGCCTTGAAGATTCAAAGCTGCCTGGAGGAAAAAGAGTGAAAGGAAACCCAGCTCTCTCTAGAAGTCTCGTGGGAAGATCAGTGTCATCTCGTATGTTGTGGCCCCCAAGCCTCATGCATTTGCATTGCGCATTTGTGATTGGTTCATTGCCTAGTGTTTGAATTGATGGTGACAGTGCTACACCCGCCTAGGGGTGGAGCCAGCATACAATGTAATGGCAGGAAGAAGGTGGGTCTTTCTTGCCAGTTTCTACCTTGCTGTTTGCAGCTGCCATGAACTGTGGCCCCACCACGCCACCTTGCCTTGGAGCCAACTGAGTATGGACTGAAACTTCCAAAAACAGTAAGAAATAAACCTTTCCTTTCCCAACTTTGGGTATCAGGTATTTTGTCCCAGTGACAAGTAAAAAGTAACTAAGACAATCAGCAAATCAAAGGCATCACATGTCTCCACAGCCACACTGAAAGCCACAAGACAACGCAGCAATGCTTTGGAAATTGTAGCAAAAAGTTTTTCTGCCTAGAATTCCACACCCAGCAACCGAATGCAAAGATTTTGAAAAGCTGTTTCTGGTACGCAAGGCATACTTTACTTCCCAAGCAGCTTTTCTCAGGAAGCTGCTCAGTCCATAACCCGAAGAGAACACACGGGGTCCAGGGAGAGGAGGAAGAGCTCCCAGATGATGGTTGTGCCACGGGCAGCTGTGCCACAGACTGGAGCCGGGCGCAGAGACACCAAGATGACAATGGAGGGGAAAGAATGGCTTCTATGCCTGAGCTCGGCCTTATCTCCGCCTTCCGGCTGACTGCAAGACCACCGCACACTCCCTCCCTTGGCCTCGACCAAGTCCCCCAGCAGCCAGTGAGCACTGGGCAGGATTCACCACCCTCACAGAAATGACACGTACGAAAGATTTAGTGTCCTGACAGCCCAAGAGAGAAGCCTGGCAGGGTCCAATGCAGCCACAAGCCCAGAGGGCAGCCCCTGACCCAGCCGGGTGTCCTCCTAGAGGGCTGCCAGGGCTGGCCTGAGAAGCAAAGGGTAGATGTACGCAGACTCCGCATCTCCCTCCCGCTGTCACCAGGCGTCACACTTACCGCCACGTGGCCTCCCTCCTCGCTAAGGAACCTCCGGACATCACACAGCGCTGCCAGGGCACACTGCCTTTGAGAGAGAAAAGAGTCAGTGGAGTGCTGGTCGGCTGCATGAGACAGAGGTACAGTCTACCCAAGACCAGCGAGGGACCGCCTCCATGCCCCTCCTTCCCCTTAAGTCCCCTTAAGTCCCCTCTCCTCCATTTTCAGTAAAATTTTGTTTCTTCTCAGTGTCTGTAACACAGTTCTGTAAGGCGGAAGGCAATGCAGACCTGGCATTAGCGATAATTTAAAACCCCTTTTCTATACCTGCCTTATTGCTCATGGTGCACCAACTTCTCCATAAGTGTGATTCCCGAGTGTTGCACATTTCCCAATTATCAAAATAAGTAGCTATAGTCAGATGTGTGGGTCAGGGTCAGAGTGTGTGTGTGCGCGTGTGCATGTGTGTATAGCTAGTGACAGGACAGGGGAGACACTCTGGCCATTACCCAGGACAAAACTAAGCTTCATGTTCCGTTTTCTGTCCTGGGAGTAAGCCCTCCCCGCACCACTTCCTGGAGGAAGGGGTCACTGTGAGGCCCTTGGGTCCACATTCACGGACCTCTGCAACCTGTAACCCTCCTCAGCGCCACAGCATGGACATGGACGGCACTGTCTCTGGAACGTTAGTTCTCTTACTCATCCCTGCAAAATGGGTTGGCACAAGGAAAGGTCTTTCCTTTTCTGTCCATTTCTCCTATAAGTCTAGAGACATACACTGCTTTTATTTTTGTCTGTTACCTTCACTTTTTCAACATAAGAGCTAAGCTAGATCTCATGCCACGGGTTTGACCTGTGGGCTTTACGCATAAGCTCCTTGTGTGTCAAGTCAGAGATCTACACTGCGAGGCCCTCATAAAGTCAGGGTGCTAAGGGACATAGGCCCTCGTAAGTCAGGGTGTTAAGGGGCAGAGACTGGCAAGCCTCGTGGTCTGCTGGGAACATGAAGAGACCAGTGAGAACATGGAATCCAGGTCACTTCAAGGAGTCCTACTCCCATGCCTGCCTGTGACCTTTCGGTGCCCCAAAAGGTCTTTCACTTAATCCTCAAAGTGCTTTCTTCTTCTGCCAAAACCTCTGAATTCTGAAAATCTAAAAAATTCATTGCAAAGAAAAACCAAACCCCTCATTGCTATGCCTATCTTCCTGCCCATGTGGGGCCCCAAATACTAATCAAGGATCTTTCCAGGGTTTCTCTGCCTGGGGCTCCAGGGAGGGAACTCAGGGTCCAGTCAGACCTGGGTGTAAGTGTGAGTAGATGCACATGGGCATTTATTTGTATGGGTGGGTGTGTGTGAGTGTGCTGTCCATGTGTGGGCATTTAGGTCTGTGAGTGTGCATGTGTGAGCACAGCTGGGCATGCATGAGTGTGCCCACCCTCTCCTGTGTAGTATGTGGTTGAGTGGACACAGTCTGGGGGAATGTATCCACATGTGTGTACCCAGGGTATGTATGTGTGTGTACAAGCACATATGATGTGTTTACCCATATGCATATATGTAGAGTGGTGTGAACATGCTTTTGTGCAGTACATGATTTTGTGTAAGCACATCCATGAGTGTGCCTGGCATGCATGTGTGCCCAGACACGTGTACATACAAGATGAGCCCAAGTGTGTATGTGCCCGTGAGTTATACACCACATGCAGCTCCCTGCACTGACATAAAACTCCCTGAACTCGCTATGTCCATACTGTTCACATAAACAGCATGGTTTATGCTGCATAACTGGTTTCTTTTCAAGCGTGGAAGTTTGGAAAACATCAGACTATGTGACTAGCCCCAAATGGAAAGGGACTTTCCTGGTAGACAAGACCTTACATGTGTTCCCATAATTCAGCGGAAGAGGAATTAAATGCATCCCGTGTGACTCTGGGAGGGAGGGCGCTCTGACTGCACCACACACCTATTGGCTTTGCTGACTCTGCTTTGGATGGCTAACTGCTATAAACCTTGGTCCACTGACACGCCAGGTCTTGGGAGTCACCCTAGAGATCACGAGCCTAAGAGTGTCTGGAAGACCCCTGAGTGTGCTCAGGTATATATGTGCACACATGGGTGAGCACATGTGTGTCTGTGCGTACACTTGCCCTTGTGTGAGGTGTGATTGTGAGCAGTACTGCACATATGTGATTGAGCCCAAGTATGCATATTTATAAATGACCACATGTATACGCACACACCTTCATGTACAGTCTCTGTGTGTGTACAGGGAATGTGCATATACACCTATGGGGAGCCAGGATATGTGTGCATGAAGTGTTTGTGAATACACCAGTTGGCATACACATGTATGTATCCTGACATGTGTATATGTGACTGTCACACATATACACTTTTCTAGATCTTCCACTGGGAGAGTGTTAGCACTGTGTGGCTTTAGGGTCATTAGCAATGTGTGAGTAACTGGACCTCTGCAACATGCAGCCCTTTCTTCCCAGGTTTTCCACTTTTAAAACTTTTTTCTTTTTTTGAAATATATAGTTCAGACTGGCTTTGATCTTATGTATTCCTGGCTGGCCTCAAACTTATGGAGATCCTCCTGCCTCAGCCTCCCAAGTTCTGGGATTAGAGGTGTGCCCTACCATACCCGGTTCATTTCAAAAACTTCTGATCCTTTTTACTTTTCTAATTGCTTAGGAAATTTGGGGCCTAGTTAACAGGAAACAGCCCTCTGGTCTGATCCAGGCTTCAGCTATAGGAAGAAGCATTTCTAGAAACAGTAGAGACTATGTCTACAAAATGGTAAGGTAGCTCATGAACCTGCCCCTCGCTCATATCACGGGGTCCTGTGTTCCACTGAGGGAATCTAGGCGAGCCTCCAACCTCTCTGAACCTGGTGCCTCCACTCTGGTTCTCTACCTTTGAGGGCAGGCCTGGGGATGCCAGCTGCATTGGTCTCCCAACAAACACTCTGGATTCAGCGAGGCCAGGTTTCAAACTCACACTCAGAATGGCCCCACAGAGTGAGATGGCGCCATCCTGTCCTGACCCAGCCTCCACATGTGGGAAGGTAAGGCACCAGTCCCAACTGCCAAAGGTGTAGGAAGGTTAGACAAGCTGGCTGGCCCATGCGCACAGCTCGGGGCTGACTGAAAACCTGCATCTGGTATAGTCTTTCACCTACTAATTGGGTAATTTTGGAATGAAGGGTGGTAAAAGAGCTTAGATTCAAGTCAATTTAGACTAGGCTGTAAAATAACTTTTGTGAGGCTTCTGGTTTTTCTGAGCCTGTTTCCTCATGTGTAAAGTGTGTGTGCCTGTGCATGTGACAATGGCCACCAGCACCAGCCCACAGGAGGCTCAGATGTCAGTCCTCCCCCTTTTATCTGGCTCCATATCACCAGAGGACTCAGCCTTGAGTTTTATGCACAAGACCATTCGAATGTGGCCTGGCCAAGTAGGAGAGCACACTCAGGAGCACCTGCCCCCTGGTGACCAGAGAAGGAAGACACAGCCTGGTGAATGCTGCTGTGTGGCCTCTGCCCTGAGGCCAGGCTTGTTTTCAAGTCACTAGAGTTGGGTCAACGCTGTTCACCTTCCTGCCATGATGGCTGAACCCAAGCAAGTCTCTGCCACCTGAGGCTGAGAAGGGGTTTCTTGGCCCTGCTAACCCCTGCCGAGAAGAGAGAAGGGCGTGGTGTGGCTCCTCAGACCACCAGTGGTACTCGGTGCCTTGCAGACGCCCTTGCATCTGAATGGGGCGGAGGGCAGGGTATCATGTGCAAGCCCAGTCTCAGGAATACCAGCAAGAGCAGGAACTTCTCCCCCAGCAGCAGCATCCCAGATACTTCCAACAAAGCTGGGGCCCAGCCCGCACACGCCGAGATCATCCTAGGCACACATACACAGAAGGGGCAAGAGAGGAAAACCTCACCCTGGTCTATCCCTGAGGCCCGAATCAGAGTGCCTTCTAAGGCTGTTCTCCCCAACCCTGGAGCACAGACCTGACCTGCCCTACTGAAACTTCCCTCCCATCCCCGAAGCTCCCCCGTCACCTCCCACAAGATTTCCTGGCCAAGGATTCTCAATACCTCAACCTTGATGGACCAGCTACCAGGAGGCCACACAGCCTCTCCTCTCACCCCCACACCCACCCCATTCCAACTCAACCACATGCTAAGCGCTCAAGAAGCCAGCCCTGTCACACAGTGCTAGTGACAGACCAGGGCCAGGCTTAGGAGCAAGGCAGCCACACATAAGCAGCTCAGCTCGAACTTTCGGAGACTTCTCAGCCAGCCATTTCAACAACGGTGAACCCCAACACTTACTTCCTGATTTTCAGGCCCTCTTCATTGTCTGGGAGGAAAAACTCAAAAGATTTGTAGGTCTTGACCATGTCCCGGCGATACTGGCCGACGTTGAACTCTGGGGGAAAGGAAGCTCTCAGCTTTCACAGAGTGGCGACCGCCCTGGGCCCTGATAGGGTCCTCCCCAGGGCTTGCCCACCATCTGGCCTCCCCTTTCCCTTTCTGTTCCCCAACAAGTCCCCAGTGTCCCCCACAGCCTCACCCCGAGTGGGTACGCCAATCCAGTTCAGGTATCGGGTCAGCTTCTTAGAAATGTAGGTCTTGCCCCTGGCAGGCAGGCCCACCATGACAATGAGTGTCGGGCAGTTGGTCATGCAAACTGGAAGGCAAGCAGCACACAGTGTCAGCCCCTCTGCCTGTCATCTACCTCTCAGCCTCAGAACATGAAACTGATACCACCTGTACCTCCTGCCATGCGCAGGGCCCTGGGCACCCCTAGACCCAGTCTTGAGCTGCTATGACCCTCTTCCCCAGGGCTATCTGGGCTCTGGTAAATGCAAGGACCTCCTCAGCCCTTCCCGTCCTGACATGCACCAGCAGTGAAAAGCTCAATAGGCCACACAGATCATGCCCTGGGAGACCCAGAGGGTACTCAGTGCCAGCCTCTGCCATTCAGGAATTTGCACTCTACCTGTTCTCACTTTGCCCTACATTCAATGCTCCAGCACCCCCAGTCCTACTGTCTGACCTCCCTGTTGTGACTTTATTTTCCTAAAGGAGCCTCCACATCCAACTGATGCACCCTTGTCCTCATCCTTCTCACCTCACTGAGTCTGTTCTCTCCAGACTGAGCGCTTGTGCTGGAAGCATCCCTGCAGTGTATGAGCCATTTAAGGCCCAGGGCAGCCTGGTAAGGCATTAGTGTTTGGGAGCTATGATCAGGAGCAGAGAGATATCCAGAAAGCCAGCAGAGTGAGGGCTACAAGGGGCTGAGACCAGAGGCCCAGCACAGCACTCGCCATGACAGTCCCTCTGATAGCCTGCCACCACCATTCTATGTGCCACCAGGCCAGTGTGCCAATCAGAGAAGCTGATGGAGCTGAAGGCAGGGAAGAGTCTGAGCCCCAGCTGGCTGGGGCACATAGCAAAGCAGCAGACCTGCCAGCCTCCTTTGACCCAGCTCAGCTTTCAGTGCAGTCAAATGTGGCTTCGCCTCAAAAGCTTCCCTCTCCTCAGTCTTAGGACCTGGGCCAACAACACCAGAGCAGATAAGACTTGTGCCCAGTGGCTTTCTCTGCTCGTCTGGTTCTGCAGGGCCTTTCATTCACTAGCTCTCCTTGCGTGGATGGCCAGGGACTTATATGCTCCCTGAGAGGGCAGGTACCCTCTGAGCCATGGGTCCAACCCTGAACTTGTCTCCTCACCTAGCAAATGGGATAATAATCCCTTGCAGAAGATCTACCCTTACCGCCATGTGTAAGCCAGAGCGCTTCCAGGAAACCGTGCCCTCTGCCCCCCATGCCTTTGGGGCTTGGGCTATAGAGGAGACAGTAGCCTGGTCCAGACAAGTCCTGTCTAAAAGCAAAGGGCTCTGCATGCCAGTGAGGGCTCCATCACTCTTAAACATGGCCTTTGTGTAACCCAAGCCCTGGGCCCCAGGGGAGAGAAGGAGGAGACCTCAGAGTACGGCTTACAATGAGTAAGAGAGAAAAAACTTGCAGGAAAACTAGTAAGTACTAGGTAAGCTGAGAAGAAAACAAGTTAGGCAATGCTCTGCACTCTCAGGCCTGCGTGGTTTGCACAATTCCTGCCAGATTAGCCAGGGTCCTCAACCATGTCCAGGGCAGTGTGTCAGCCACTTGCCAGAAGAACGCCCTGGCCCTGGCCCGCATGCTGAGGCTATGCCTTCCCACTACTGCATCAGGGACGCAGCCTCAGCACAGGGCTTCTACACTTTGTGTCTTCTCAGAGATGGCCTGGCTCTTTTCAGGGCCCCAACCTCCTCCCACAACCTTTGGAGACAACTGGGCATTCAGGGCAGCAAATCAGGCCTTGACACAAAACAGGACAATAAATCAGCTGTCACCTCTGCTCCCCAAGATAAGTGCCCAAGAGATGACCCAAAGAAAACCAAAGTTCAAGTACATTCCCAGCAGCTCTGCTTACAGCAACAAAACACTTAGAAAATAGCAAACAGAGGCATGACATGGAGGGCACATATGAGCCCTTGGCACAGGGAGCCGTAGCATGGGGCCAGAACTACAGCTCTGAGTCCACAAGTACCCAATGCCAAGCAACAGGACAGCAGAACACACTGTCTGCAACACCAAGCATACAGAGAGGGGAGGAGGAAGCAGCTCCCTCACTGGTCTCTTTCCCATAAATACGCTGAAGGTACAGGAATCAAGAGGCCCGAGACACACCTGCCAGTGGGCAGTGCCTTCTTCCTACTTCCTGGCGTCTCCACCAGAGGGGCAGCCACAAGTCCCTGGAGCAGATGCCAGAACAGATTCTTAGTTACACCTGCTCCCAACTCCTAAGCTAAGCGGGGTAAGGAAGAATTCTACGGAATAAAACACCAGAAACTGGATGTGGTGGCGCATGCAGGTTTTAGCCCAGCCTAGGCAACTTACTGACACCCTGTCTCAAGATTTAAAAAGTAAAAAGGCCTGGAGATATAGCTCACTTGATGTCAGCCAAAAGGCCGAGAAGCGATGGCGATATAGCTCAGTATCAAGGTCTTTGTATTAATTTCTAGTATCAGCAATTTTAAAAATCTTTTAATAATAGCCAGGCATGATGGCACACACATACCTGTAATTCCATCTCTTGGGAGGCTGAGACAGGAGGATCCCTGCAAGCTGGAAGCCACCCTGGACTACATAATGAGTTCAAGGCCAGCCAGAATTATATAGTAAGACCATGTCCCCAAAAAACAAATAAATAAATGTTAACATTTTAAAATTTTTTAAAAATTATGTCACTTGCCATCTTTTGACTGAGAGAAGCATCTTTCCTGCCATGCTTGTGGCTGAGTCTCCTCTCCATGCCTTGCCCCCAGATCCTCCAGGTCTGAGTAGAGAGGCCAGTAGGGTGTGGCTCTGAATTTTATCAGTTGGAGAAGAACTGCTATTGGCAAGTGGAGGGTGACAGTGGCACAGGACCTCTCAGTTAATCAGCCATGTCCTGAGGACTGGGGACCACACCCCAAAGAAAACCTACTACAAAACACAAACTGCTTCCTCCTCCCCACAAAGTGACTCTGTAACCGAGTCAACTTCTCCCACCCACAGGTCTTCACCATCCTTAAAGTCTTCTAGCCTAGCCCTAAGCTTATTACACAAGAAGGGAAATCCTGCTCCAGTGCAAGCACCAGGAACCCGAGGGGCTGCATGGCTAGGTCCACTTTGACTGCCTGGCCACCTTCTGCCAGAAACTCTGGGGCCTCAGAGGGGCCCAGTTCCCCACACAACCTTGCAGCCTCCTCTTTGACCTCTTGGGTGTCAAGAAGGTCTGGGCCCACAGTCAGCCTACTTCAACACAAGACAAGCTCAGACCAGAGCCATGCCTTAATGCCACATTTCAAGCCTGAAGAAACGCAAACCTTGCATCAGCAGCTGAGACTCAACAAGTCTCTTCCCAACGGGCTTTGGCGCCCTCCTCACCTGTGCTGGGTGTTGGCTCTCAGTGACGCATCAGTACCAACTCTGATGTCGTGAGAAGCAAAGGAAAAGCAATGGTGAAGAGGAATTACCTTCTTCCACTCTTCAAGGACCCACTTGTTAGAGAGTTCCAGCTACTCATAGGGCAAAGGATGATGACTATCACATCCCACAGATAAGGAAGCTAAGGCCTAGGATGGTCAGCTCTTACTCAAGGTCACAGAGCAGAATGTTCCTGATTCCCAAAGTCCAGGTCCTCACTCATCATCCTTTCTGTATTTACAGCAGACACCCTCATCAGGACCACTGGCCCAGGACGGAGGGGCCTCAGCCTCCACACCCCTAAAAGAGTGAGAAGGTCTGGCCAGGTCAAGGCCATGGCCCTGGGGATCAGAACACAGTTCAGGAACCATGGCAACCCCTACCAGGACTCATGGTGTGATCAGAGATATAAATGCATCTCTCTCTGGAGACTCACTTTATGATCAAAGTCATTGCTACAGGCTAAGCTGGGAGCACAGAACACTCCTCTCCCTTCCCCTGCAGAAGCAGAGGTCCGAAGCCCAGCACCTCACACACATACACACACACACACACACACACACACACACACACACACACACACACCTTGCGGGACGCCATACCCACAGCTGTACCATCATTTGTATTAGATGTCCTCTGAGGTCCTGCCAAGTTGCAATTTCATTACACTGTTTCAGTTACTCTTACAACAGACCTTTCTTTTTTGTGGTGAAGAAAGTTGCAGACTCATTTAAAGATAAGCAGAAAGTTAAGGAATGTTTCCCCTGAACGACCTGCGTATCTTCAGAGGTGAACTGGGATCACACAGCATTGCATCCTATCTATTCTAACCACATCTACACTTCCCTACGTTCCTCCAGAAAGGACACCATCCTCACTCCAGAGACCTAGCCCATGCAGATTAATTCTTTGCAAGTTCTAGGCTCTGGCCAAGTGATTCTAGGGCTATATAGTTCAGTTCCCTCCTGCTTATGTGCCCACTCTCTGGCAAGCAAAGCAGAAATACAGGGGCCATGTCGATGGAGACCTCCTTGATGGTGGCCACTGGGTGCAAAGTTGGGAACAAAGAGACCCATCCCCTCCTGGAGATGATGGTGGCCAGGCCTGACTCTTACCAAGCCCAATGGCCCCACGCACCTGTCCCCACTCCCCTGCTCTGCCAACACTTATCTTCAGCCCACTATTGTCACTGCCACCTCACTCCTCCAGAGGCCACCACTTGTCCCCGACTCTATCCACCAGTCACGGGACAACCTCCCCTGACCCGGGTCCCCACTTGTCCCCTGGCCCCTCCCAAGGCCTCTCATCTGCTCATATGGCGCACCACCCTCCTCTCCGAGGACCCGGCCTCACCACCGCGCTGGCATGCGTGCAGAGCGGGCCGGCCGTTGCTATAGGGCATCCAGATCTTCTTCAGGGGGTTCTGGGTCAATTCCCGCGGGGACGCCATCCCGCAGCAGAGTCCGGCTGCGGCAGCTTAGGACCCAGGAGCCCCGCCACCTCCGGCCACCCGAGGTCCCACCCCTCGGGCCCCGCCCCTTTTCAAGACTTGATCGCGCTATCCATCTTCCTTTAAGCCCCGCCCCAGGGTGAATAGGTTCCGCCCTAACTGAAGAGGCCCAGGCCTCCGACTACGCATGCCCAGCTCACCTAAGATCCCTTTCTGGGCCAAGCGCAAGCCTGCCCTCAAACTAGGGCGAGAATGAGCGTGCTCATTGCCCAATAAGCGCAAAGCCCGTATTATGCAGGCCCCGCCCCGGATGCAGATACGCAAACCAACTGTGCTTATTTGCATAGCTGTCACCCTAGGCCCCGCCCTGGACGCTGCAGCTTTACTTCCACGGCGCCCGCGGCAGAGCCTGACGTTGGGTGCCTAGCAGGCCAGGGGTTCGTACAGTGTGGCGGGGCTTGCAGAACTCTGCGGACCCCAGTGATCAGGATCAGCCTGGCAGGCCTAGCGGCCCTGTAACTGGCCTGCTGTCCCCGCCGGCTGTCAGTACCGTCGCGCTCCCGCCCCCTACCTCCCGCCTGGTGCTAGGCCCTCTCCTCTTCAGAGTCCCAAGTTTCTGACCTCTTACGGGGGCTACCTGATCAACCACGCCAGAAAAGATCCTTCGTCTGATGGTCAGGGACATAGCGCAAATCTTAGAACTGGTCGTGTGTCTCCAAGCTTTGGCTGCCGGGGAAGCTACACTAAACTGCTGCTACCTGGAGCTATGAGACCTCGAGACCAAGGTGTCTGTGGACTCCCTGACCTCTGACAGTGTATTAATTTCCTTCCCCAAATTTTATTTTTATCAGTTACATTTTTCATCGTGCGTTTATGTATTTTGCATAAGGGAGTAAAGACAGGATTGAACCAAGGGCTTCACACTGAGCCACATCACCAGCGGCCTCCCAACCCAGGTTTTTTGTTTTTTTGTTTTTTTTGAAAGACAAGATCTTGCTACATTGCCCAGGCTGGGCTCAAACTTGCAATCCTCCTGCTTGAATTCAAGCTTATGCTACCAAGCGAAGCTAATTTTTTAAATGAGCCTCTATGCTATCATCAGGAAAATAGGGGCACAGATCATCGGTCTTATAGGATCATGGTATGGACTGAATGTGTCAGTCTCAGAAATTCACTCTTTCTCATTATATTAATCTCCTTCCTGACCTTGACAAAAGGCCAGGAAGAGCTCCAGAAATTCAGAAGTACTTTGCTTACTGTCCTGTGTTTGGCCCCACCAGACCCATGTGGGCTCTTGCCTCAGGTCTGCCAGCTACTTTCTGCTACAGTCCTAGCCAGCTGGGTTTAAGCTGCCTTCTGGAATGTCCCCATCACACCCTAGCAGGTCCTGGCATCCTCAAATTGTCTCTTTCCAAAGTGTACCCAGACAGGAGCGAGCGCCTTGGAAAACAAGGCTGCCCTCATTTGCAGTAGGTGTAGCACTACCGCCAGCCCCTGCCTTGAATCAAGCCTCCAAACGACCCAACACTTCAAACCCTGGCAAGCACCATTGAGATGACAGACATAAGCCAGGTGTGGTGGCACATGACTGTAATCCAGGTTGGGGCAAGACGATTGTCCGTGCTACATAGTTCAAAGCCAGCCTGATCTACAAGACAGGACCTGATCTCAAAACCAAAACAAAACAAAAAGATGACAGACACAAGTGGTTCTCATTTTACAGGAAATAAAGGTTCAGGAGATCCATATGCTAGAAGCCCACCTGGACCCCCTCTAAAAGCAGCTCTAGCTGTTTAGCTCCACAATGCCCTGCCTCATGCAGGTTAAACCATTTCCTTCTTCCTCATTTCCCAACTACAATACCTGCCCCCAAGCCTGTCTCCAGGTCCCTGCGATAACCCAATTGGCCCTGCTTCTCAAAGTCACCATTGTGTTCCTGACACAGTCAGCACTCCTGTTTTCTGGCCACTGCCCAGACATCCTGGGGCCGTCTGTCCAAGCTTCAGAAAACTCATTGCCACAACCTATCCAACGGCTAGCATTTCATGGGGGAAGTTTCCCCCTCTAACATCCCCAGGCACCCAGCCCCTCATCAGACCTGCTTTCCTCTTCCTCAGCCCCTCTTGATGTTAGTCAAGAGCTGAGAGTGAGAGCAGCCAAGAAAGGCAGGAGGTAGGGCTATCTCCACACCAGACAGCCTGAGCCTTGTTCCCAGGAAATGGCACAACTTGGTACCTCCGCCCCTTTCCTAGCTGACCCTGGGCTTGCCCAGACACACCCTTCCAAGTCTATACATCCTGCTGGGAGGACAGAGGTCACCATGAGAAGCCAGGGCCCCTCCCCAAGGCTAGGGTCTACATCTCTGAGCATACTTCCCACCTCCTCTCATGGCCTCACTTCTTAGGTAGGAAACCGAGGCTCTGGATAGAGAGAAAGGTCCAAGGTCACAGAGCCAGCCCACAGTACATGCAGACTCAGCAGAACTGCCAGCCTACAGAACCTCACCCCTATACTTTGAACCATGGCTATGCTTCCCACCTTCACACCCAGGCTCCACTGAAATGCTCTCTTGGCTTTCTGCTCCCCCAGCATCAGTAAATGTCCAATAGAATAATTGGTCGTCATGGTTTTTCCTTCCTCAGGGCATCCCAAAATGTGCCAGCTACCCTGTCCCATGCACTGGAAGTATATGAATATATCAGCTCAGTCTTTCTCTTCCACGAATTTGCCTAGCTTGACCCTGCCTGGCTCCCAGGGCACTCTCTGTACTCACCACTGAACCTCCTCCCAGGGTCCCGGAGTAGAAACAAAGGGGTGGCCCAAGTTTTCAACCCTCAGTTCTCAAGACTCAAACTCTCCCTAATCCCATGTGTGCTGCCCAGTCCATCATTCACAGCATAAGGACTTCAGGGCTGCCACAGAGGTCCATACCCCGTGGCACACAAGCATGCACTGAACACACAGAAGCACACCCAGGAGCAAGCCCTGCACCCAGGCAGCGCTGGGACCAGCAAGCCATGCAGGGCCTGCTACTCTCTGCTGCCCTCTTGTCTTTATTTCTCCATCCTGCAGGTCAGTCACCAAGGGGCAGGGGAAGTTGCCAGGAATCCTAGCTTCCTCTGGCCATTTCCAGGAAGAACTGTCCTCAGTGACTCCCTGGGCCCAGAGCTCAGAGTATGAGGTTCCAACTGTGTGTTTGGTTACAGCCTGTCCCCTTGATCTGCACTTCCTAGTTCCAACCTGACCTAGGGCACACAGTGGGTACTCAAGAGTGGCTCAGGACCAGCCAGTGCACATAGAAGGGGCTCAGAAAAGTTCATGAGCAAGACAGAGTACGCAGAAGGCGTTTAGAGATGCTCGGGATCAGCACAGGGCATACACTGGGTACTTAGAAACACTGGTTTCAGGCTAAGGCTACATGATATGAACAAGTATCCAAACAAGCCTCTGGGCCTCCTCACTCTGGGTGACCCCCTGGGGAGGATCTAGATGAACATAACCCCTTGGAGGTCAGCAAGGGACAGAGTGGGAAGGCCTTGGACAGCTCCAGTGGCTGCCCCTCCCCCTGGGCTGAAGAAAGACTATTTATGGTTTCTCCTTGGCCCAGCCCCCTCTGCCCTGCAAGACAGTGCTCCCCTCCTCTGGGCCACTGACAAACTGATGTCCTCTCAGAGCACCCAACATGCGGAGATGCACCCAACCCTCTCAGTCTCCCTCCCTGCACCCCAGTCTTCCCCCAAACTCCCATCCTCCCCACACTGCCCAGTGCCTACCCTGCCTGCCGCTCCCCGGCCCTGGGTTGGTCAGAGAGCTGCCTCGTAACGTGCCTCTGTCCATCCTGCCACCAAACTGGCCAGGGCCACCGCCCCCTGTGGCTCGGGGAATAGGGTAACCCCGCCTTTGCCTGCCTCAGGCAGACTCTAAAGAAGCAGCTCCGCCTCTTGGCCACCCTAGGCCCGCCTGCCAGGGCCGCTTACTACTGTGAGGTTGACCAGGCAGGCAGCTGCACACAGGCGGGTGGGTATTGCCTCTCTCCAGTCAAAGCTGCCCAGGGGCTTCCCTCATCTCTGGGCGGAGCTTCTACCCTATGTGCAGAGGCAGGCCTGCCCACAAGCCCTGATCAGCTAGCTCCTGCCCGACAATGGTGGGAGGAGGGTGAAACAGTAGCACCTACCCCTAAACTTCTAAGGGGCTGCGTAGGTTAAGAATGTGTGGCGGAGAGGTGGACAGAACACCAAAGTAAATGGACTCAGCCCCATTGTGTACATGATGGAGTAATCTCAGCCACCCTGTCCTCCGATCATTTGACGCTTGTTGAGTGCCGCTGGCAGCTCGTCACACCTTCGTGCACACTATGTGACTTTCTGCATGCAAAGCTTGGTGGCATCACCCTCTTTACACATAAGGAGACTGAGGCTTAGAAAGGTGGCACCTTTGCCCAGGACATTTTAGTGAGGAGAGGACAGAGTTGGGTTGGAGCCCTGGCAAACTGAGCGCCCTCCCCTCAGCCACGTGTGTCAAGGCTGGATGTGCAGAGGTGAGGGTAGTCGGTGGCCAGCAGTTTGTCATGTGCACTTCACTCAGGCTTGGGGGGTGAGCACCCCCTCCCTGCTCATACACACCGCTGACAGGAGCTTGTAATAGGCAGCACGGGCATTCATGACCCAAGGCTGCTGTAGCCAGACTTTCCATGTATGGCTGGCTGGCCATGCCTCAGGGGAACCGTCTATCTGCACAAAGCATGCATATGACCCTCCTGCATTCTCTCTGCAGGACACCCAGGGAACCACACCTTGGGCCTAAAGTGATGGAACACAACTGTGACCAAGTGTGACAGTGTACAGATGTTCAGTGGCTGTGGGCTGCCCCAACACGCAGGGTTCCACATGGCAGGGACCTTATGTGGTACTGTCCAGGCTTGCAGACGTTCCGTAAATCCAGGGAGCCCATAGGCTTAGAGGGTGCCACACGGCAGTGGCCACATAGTGAGGTCTAGCCAACACAGACACACTGCATCTGTGGGTGCTCCAATGAGGGATGACGCTCTGTGGCTCCCGAAACAGTATCTAGGCACACTCTTCCCAGATGTATCCTCGTCCAGCTGTCACCATCCTCTGGACTTTCCCATATGGTGTCGCCCCAGTTTTTATGTCCTCTTCTTCAGCTTCGGCTAACACATGCCAGGATGTGGGCATTGGCAGCAGCCAATGGCAGCCCTGGTCTGGGCCTGGTCCAGTAAGATCTGCAGGAGGCCGATAGGTACGTCCAGTGAGAGGGTGATGCGGGAGCCAAGGCGGGGGTCAGGGCTGGGGTGACCCCAGGCAGAAGACAGGCCTGTGGTTGTAGCAGAGGGACTCACTGAGGCCACAGGATAAGGAGTGGTCTGAGAACGTTCCTGAGGGAAGCTCTGCAAAGCTGGGAAGGGGGTCACTGGTACAACCAGGACCCTGATCAACATCAGGACCATCAGCACCCACGAAGCCTGCCAGGACATTGTGGCATCTGGCTGCAAACACACTCAGAGTGAAGGTTCTGATTAGCTTTATACAGATCTAGCTGGCAAGAGCAGAGAAGACATAGGAAGAGATGGAGAGAGACAGAGAAAGAGATGGGCAGAGTGAGAAAGGGATGGACAGAGAGAAAGGGAGAGATGGACAGAGAGAAGGAGAGGTGGACAGAGGGAGAGATGGACAGAGAGAGGGAGAGATGGACAGAGAGGAAGAGACGGACAGAGAGGGGGAGATGGACAGAGAGAAGGAGAGATGGACAGAGGGAGAAATGGACAGAGAGAGGGAGAGATGGACAGAGAGAAGGAGAGATGGACAGAGGGAGAGATGGACAGAGAGAGGGAGAGATGGACAGAGAGGGAGAGATGGACAGAGAGGGAGAGATGGACAGAGAGAAGGAGAGATGGACAGAGGGAGAGATGGACAGAGAGAGGGAGAGATGGACAGAGAGGGAGAGATGGACAGAGAGGGAGAGATGGACAGAGAGAAGGAGAGATGGACAGAGGGAGAGATGGACAGAGAGAGGGAGAGATGGATAGGAAGAGACGGACAGAGAGGGAGAAATGGACAGAGAGAAGGAGAGATGGACAGAGGGAGAGATGGACAGAGAGGAAGAGATGGACAGAAAGAGAGAGATGGATAAAGAGGGAGAGACGGACAGAGAGAAGGAGAGATGGACAGAGGGAGAGATGGACAGAGAGAGGAAGTGATAGAGAAAAAGAATGAGATGGAGGGAGAGGAGAAGAGATAGAGAGGAAGAAATGGAAAGTGAAAAGAGATGGAGGTAGAAAGAGGAGATAGAGGAAGAAATAGAGATGGAGGGAGTGTGGAAGAGATAAAGGAAGAGATGCAGAAGGAGAGGAAGACATGGAGAGAGGGTGAGATAGAGGGATAGAGGAAGAGGAGGGAGAGAAAGAGAAAGATGCAGGAAGAGAGGAACAGATGGAGGAAGGAAGACACGGAGAGATGTAGGAGAGAGGAAGAGATGGAGAGAGTGCGTGAGAAGACACAGAGCAGAGACAGATGGCTGAGCTGGATGATGACAGCACAAAGTAGGAACACGGAGGAAAGTGAGAAGAAGTACAGAGCAAACAAGAGGGAGAGGGACGCAGCCAGGGAGCGGCCAGCTGAACCGAGAGGCAGAGAAGGAACCCGAGATTGCAGAGCCTCCCGGGTCCACTCACCGCCTGCTGCACTGCTGTCGTCCTCTGGGCTGCTCTGAGGGACGCCGTCCTGTGGCCCAACCCTCTGCTCCTCTTCAGGGCCCCTTCAGCTCCCCCATCCCTGAAGCGGGAGCTGGGGTGTATTTCAGGGCATGAGGCAGACCCCCCCCCGTGACTCAACCCCTCCTGGGAACAGAGAGGGCATGTCTTTCCTCTCCTTCTTAGGGGGACAAGTGGGACACTGAGGGTCACAGGACGATGACCAGGGCTTAGCAGCAGGACTTCTACCCATGCATAGTAATCCTGACCAATCGCCAGAGAAAATGGGTCCCCAGCACAAAGAGTCACACACACAAAACGTGTCACACCAAGAGCCTTTTAAAAACAGCAGCTTTAATGGCCTCCCCAGAATCAGCACCATAGTATCACGGGTTTGGGTCCAGGGACCATCAGACACTAGTCACATCTGCTCACTGCCACCGCTGACCCCACCGTGCATCATTTGCCACAATGGGGGTTTGTGTGTGTCCTTGACCCGCAGGACCCAGTCACTGAAATAACGGACATGACCGCCATGCTCACAGGCACACTGGCTTCGTAGCACCAATGGGAAGACCACACATGGCCCCTTGAGGGGATGCTGAACACCAGCCCAGCACAGTGGCCTTAGCTCCTCGCAGCACCTGGGGAAAGGGGATAAAAACTGCCATTGGTCCTGTGATCCTCTCACCCAGGTCAGCCCAGGAGAGGGGAGCATGGAGGGAGCTGAGCTGGGCAGGGAGGGGCGTCTGGCTCAGAGGGGGCCTGCAGGAGGCTTCACCTATGCATTTCTGGGTACAGTTCTCTGATCTGGGGATCTGTCCCAGGTCCTGCAACTGGAAGTGCTTCTCAGCCAGGATCCTGTCCAAGGCCTCTGCACCCAGGATAGATTTGGGTGCCCAGGCCCTGCTGAGGTGGATGTGGGCCCTTACCTGCTCTGGAGCTTTGGACCACTCGTGGTGGACAGTGGCGCTCACAGGCCTCACGGGTCCCGAAACGGTTGGCATTCCCTCCACAGCCACCATAGACAAAGGGATGACAGGCCTCCTTGCCTCCTGGCACAGCTCGATGGTACCAGCGCAGGGTGTAGGCAGTGCAGGAGCCCTCATCCAGCGGCAGAGAGCAGGGGTCTGGGGCCAATGGTGTCAGGTCAGCAGGGGGTCAGAGTGGGCCTGAGGGCGCTCAGCAGAAGGCCAAGGACAGGGCTCTACCTGGCCCCATCTGAGCTCCTCTGGCCCAGCCCTCCTCACCTTCGCTGTCCCAAGGAAGTTCAGGGTCCTGGTATTCCTCCACTGAATACTCGGAGTATTCGGAGAATTCATCATCTTCAGGGGGTACTTGGTCTGCGGGCAGGGTGGGTGTGCTGTGACAGGGCAGCTGCTGGCCCCAGGACAGGTGGGCAGTGCTGACCCTCCATCCTGTACCTACAGGTACCTGCACTCCTGCCCTGTACGTGGAACTCACGTATTTGGCACATGCCTGGCATGCAAGAGCACCCATGCACATGTACACGCCCCACCCAGACAGGCCCGGGGTCCATCTGTCCTCACCCTCTTCCGTGTGGGAGACCTGCAGCACAGGCACCAGCCGGGGGCTCTTGGGGCCAGCCATGTCTGCAGTGTAACTGGGGAGGGGTCCTGGAGCACAGAGCAGGTAATGACGCCCGGTGACATGCCAGGGTTCTCAGGGACAACCACCCAGCCACACCCTGCCCAGAGGACTCAGGCCATGGCCCGGGGGAAGAAAGTTCTGGGTACAAGAGACTACTCACGGGATCCCGATGCGATAAACTGGCCCTGGCAGGCTGGAGGGGACAGACAAGGGCAGAGGGCGATGGAGGAGAGATTCAGGGACAGAGATGAAGACACCCAGAGAGCACAGCAGGTTGAGAGGGACAGAGGGACAGCAGCAGAGACAGTGACAGAAGCAAAAGGAAGAAGAGAGGGCAGGAGGTGGAAAGAGGCACAGAAGAAGAAAGAGGAAGAAAGGCAGACAGGAACGAGAAGTGGGGACAGCCAGCAAAGGCAGGTGATGCAGATGCAGAGAAACAGGTGAGTACAGACCGTGAGCAAAGTCACAAAGGCTGAGAAACCTCACAGCTCCACCTGTGATGCTGCCAAGGTCATTGTAGCCCCCTCCCCATCAGGGGCAGCGGCCCAGCCCTGCTCCCTCCTCCCCACCATGCGTGGTAGCCTTCCACATCTGCCTGTGTGAGTCCCTCACCAAGGAGGATCTTGTCAACACATCTGTCCTGTGTTTCACGACCCTGCTCCTCCCTAAGCTCTGGGATCAGCTGACCCCTTCCTAGTGGCCCAGATGTCATGGGGAAGACCAGGCCCACTCACCGCAGTGCTGACTCATCTCCTGACGCACAAAGCCCCGAATGTCATCCTCCTAGGACACCAGACCACAGAGACGAGGAAAACCCATAAATCATAGGAGCAATGGGCCCACAGTTCGGGGACTGGGGAGAGACCAGTTCAGTAGGGCCCAAGACACGGGGATCAGGGTGTGCGAGGCAGGGCCCAGCCCCAGGGCTGCACGCACCGTCAATGCAGCTTCTCCCTTCTCACCACGTGGGCCTGGAGGACCAAGCCGCCCCTGTTTGCAACAGATGGGACCAGACCGTGACCTCAGGTCTCAGGGGCACCAGAGTCACCCCAGTCCCTGAGCCCAAGTCCAGGAATCCCCACTCACCTGTTCCCCTCTCTCGCCTGGAGTCCCAGGGGGCCCAGGGGCCCCCACCACACTCTCTCCAGGGGGACCTCGCTCACCCTGTCAGATAGGAGGATATGAGTGAGCAGAGTCAGTCAGCGGTGATCAGAAGATAAGCAAGTTGGGGATCACAGCTTCAGAGACAGGACCAGAAGATTGGAGGATGGGCCGCAGAAACCAGGAGTTGGGAAGGACAGAGGCCAACCCCACACTTCGGGGAGGGGGAGTAACGAAGTCCAAGGTCAGGAGTCAGAGTGGGGACCCTTACCTTCTGGCCCTGAAGTCCTTCAGGGCCTCTAGGACCAACACTGCCAGGAGGGCCTGGGGGACCACTGGAGCCATCATTGCCCCTAGGACCTGGGAAGCCCCCAATTCCTGGGGATCCCTGGGGACAGATATGACAGAGTCCATGAGCAGAGCCCCCAAAGATGAGCCCACTCCCAAAGAATGTGTGTCCGAACTCACCACAGCCTTGACTTCAACTCACCCGCTCTCCCTTCTCACCCTGGTCACCCTTGGGTCCTGATTGCCCATCAAAGCCTCTGTCACCCTGGGGACAGAGGGAGCATGAGAGATGCCCTGCTCCCACCTTCCTAACCTCCAGAACACCTGAGCCAGGGCCCAGAACTTTCTGTGAGGTGAGCATCTGGGGTCTCTGTGATGCCAAGCCCTGAGGCACGTAACCTCCCGCTCATACTTCCAGCCTCTGAAATCTTACAACTGGCCCCCAACTTCCCTCAGTAATCAACTCTCCACAGCCTTCCTTGATGCTAAGCCTTCTTGGCCTTATGGGCTTGTGTATGTGTGCTTTTTCGTTTTTGGTTTTGTTTTTTTTTTTTGTCTTTTTCGGTACCAGGCATCGAACTCACAACTGCCTGTTTGCAAGGCAGGCGCTTATGCCGCTGAGCTAAATTCCCAGCCCCTTTTTCGTTTGTTTTTTGGGAGGCAGGGTCTTCCTATATAGTGTAGGCTGGCCTTGAACTCACAATGACCCTCCTGCAATGACCCACAATGACTCAGCCTCCTGAGTGCTGGGATTACAGTCATGTGCCATCATCCCCGCCTTCATGACCTTATGCTGACCTCTCCTGCCCAGCCTGACCCCCAGTATCACCCCAGTTGAGAGACTGTACCTTAGGACCGATCAGGCCCTCTTTGCCAGGTGCCCCAGACTGGCCTGGCACACCAGGATCCCCCTGGAGAAGAAAAAACGGTGAGGTTGGGCCTGGCTTGCCCATCCTATCCTCGCTGAGGTTGGGGCGGGGGGGGTGTGCCCCAAACTCACAGTCTCTCCTTTTCGTCCTGCCAGCCCTGGGCGGCCTGGGAGACCAGCTTCCCCCTGCAGGCATCGGAAGGAGGGGTCAGCCTTAGGTCCCAGCTCCACGCTCCCCCACAGCTGTGTCACCTCTGTACCTTGTCTCCCTTCTCTCCGTCAAGACCACAGGCTCCCTTCACCCCTCGTTCACCCTGAGAGAGAAAAACAGCAACAAAGTGACTTTCAGACCCTTCCTGCTAAGAGCCCTGGACCCTAGAACTAGTTCTGTCAATCAGCTGCAGATGCTCATAGCGCCCTCTGGGGATTCCAGTTCAAGGCCCCATCCCGCACCCTTCCAGTCCAGAACCAAAAAAAAAAACTAAAGCTGTTCTCCCTTCCCACCTTGATGCCCCCGGGGCTGGAGATTCAGCTCAGCAGCATAAGTGCCTGCCTGATCCCCAGGACAGATAAAAAGGTAAAAGACAAAAAAAAAAAAAAAAAAAAAAAGCAAATCCCACCTTGATGCCCCGGGGACCCATGAAGCCAACATCTCCCTTGTCTCCTTGGGAACCAGGCGCTCCATCTTTTCCTGGGGGTCCCTGGAGGGCGGTCAATATGAGGTCAACAGAAATCAGTGAGGGATCAAGGGACCAGCCTGGGCTGCAGAGAGGGGATACCACGGGGTGATATAGGAAGGGCAAGGTTTGCCACGGGAACAAGGGTCACCATGGGTGTGGTCAGGACCCCTACAGGGTCGCTGTGGAGGTGGAGGACCCTGGGCAACAGGAGCCCACCACAAGATACTAGATTCCTAACAAAGTCAGAGGCTACACGGGTGGGACCTCCGAGGGGGAGGGGAAGGGGCCCCTGTGGGACAGAAGATGGCATCTTACCGGGTCACCAGCAGTTCCTGGAGCACCAGGCTCACCCTGTGGGCACAGAGACTGGGGTGAGCCCTTCAGGATGACTGTGTCCCAGGCTGACTGAGCTCACGAGAAGCAGCCTGGTAATCCGGGCTGGCACCCAGTCTGCACACAGGTCCTCTGCAGGCCCCTGTACACCAGGAGCAGGGGACCCGGGAACCCTCCCATACTCAGGGACAGCCAGGGCAGATGTGTGTGACGCATGGCTGGGGCTGGGGCAGGGCTTGCCTTGGGTCCCATGAGTCCACGAACTCCCACTGACCCAGCCACGCCCCTCTCACCAGGTTCTCCCTTGGCACCCTGTAGGAGCAACCAGGGGAGGGCCAGAGTCAGGACCGGGCAGAGGCTCCAAGGGTGACTGGCATTCACTCACAGGGCACAGCTCCTCCATCCCCACCCATGCTCCAGCAGGGTGAAGCTGGTGCTGGGGTGCCCAGAGTAACTCACTGCTCACCCTGGCACCCTGTGTTAGGGCCCCTCCCACCTACTCTGGGCCCCTAACCCCATTTGGAGCACCCCCAACAGCCAAGGAGCCACAGTCCATGGAGTTCCCTTCCTGTCTTACTGGAGGACCTCACTGGCATCCCCACTCTCTCAGCCCCAGAAACCCCTCCCCATGGGCCTCCAAGACAGGTCCTCCTGCCGGCACCTCCTACCCACCCAGACTGGCTTCGGAATCCCCTCTCTCCTCCCTGTACCTTGTCACCAGGGTTCCCACTGTCTCCCCGAGGTCCTTGGTCACCATCTAGGCCTCGAGGCCCTCGTTCACCCTGGAGCAGCGATCAGAGGTCAGAGTCAAGTGCTAGAAGACCCTCATGTTCCAGGGAGGTGAGAGTCTTGAGCTCTCAGGGCCTCTGGCCAAGCTCCCAGGAACCCTCCCACACCTCAGGGACCCAGGCTACACATGAGCCAGAACCCTCACCATGTCCCCCTTAGCACCTCGCGGTCCTGGAGGCCCCTCAATCACAGCTGAGTCACCCTGAAGAGGTAGGGAGCAGTCAGAGGAGCAATGAGCAACGAGCAACGCGGTGCCCTGCTCCTGCCTACTCATGCCCACACATACCTTGTCACCCTTTGGGCCTGCAGTTCCAGCGTCACCCTATTGAGCAGAGGAATGTTGAGTCCTGTCCAAGCGAGAGATCCCCGGTGCTGAAGGCCCATCCCCACTCCCACTCATGCCTTCCCCACATGCTTACCTTTTGCCCCTGGTCCCCCCGGCTTCCTGGGGGCCCCTGTATGAGAGAAAATGACTGAGCAATCTCGGGGCAACTGTGAGGAGTAACTCAAGCGGCAGGAGAAGACAAAGCAAGAAGGAGGGGAGCCAAGGGAAACAGGAAGGGGCAAGGGGCTGGGGCAGAACGTGGTGTCCTAAGGACACAGGGCACACAGGCAGGGCCGTCACCAGCATGTTCCCCAAAGTGACCTACCATGAGTCCTCGGGGTCCCTCCTGGCCGGGGTGGCCATCTTCCCCCTGTGTGGTTACATGAGGTCCACTGACTCAGAGGCTGGAAATCTGAGGTAAGACCTGTGAGGAAGGAACCGAGGCCACAGCTCCCTGGCCTAGGAGCAGCCATACATACCCGGACACCTGGCTCTCCACGCTCTCCTCGAGGCCCGGGCAGCCCTATCCCAGGGTCTCCCTGGAGATCAGCAAGGAATCAGGGATCAATGAGGGGAATTAGAGAGGAAAAGAATGTTATGGGAGGCCGGGGGAGGGTGGAGGGGTGACAGGGCACAGAAGAAAGCCAGGAGCACGGCACCAACCTTGTCTCCTTTGAGTCCAGAGGCTCCAGGCGCTCCCTGCGGGTCAGAGTGAGGTGAGAATCCTGTAGTCCTTAAAACGCGCGTACGTACACATGCACACACACGTGCACGTGTGCACACACAGAGTCTAGCAGTGGGGCCTAGTCCGTCACACATCCTCCCACACATGGAGAGACTTGGAACATGGGATCACTTCTACTCACCGGTAACCCTGGCAGTCCGGGTGGCCCCAAGGGGCCTGGGGCACCTTCTCTGCCTGGGAGTCCTGCCAAACCCTACAGGAAAATGAGTCGAGAGTGACTTGGAACCTGCTTTTCTTTCCCCCAAGATTAGGAGCCTCCACAGTAAGACCTACGTTCCCACCTCCTCGCCCACTATCAGATTCAGAGATCTTAAAGTCACAAAATCCCCACAAGTTGCTTCTGCCCCCTTACCCGCTCTCCACCAGGACCTGGCTGGCCTATCTCTCCTCGAGGGCCTGTCTGGCCAGGGAGCCCAACAATTCCAGGAGCACCAGGAGAGCCAGGGGGGCCTGGGTCTCCCTGAAACAGAGAAGGCAAAAGGAGAAGAGGTCACTGTGGGATCCCTTCCCAAGATTAGCGCCAGAATTCCCTCTTCTCTCACCGCCAAGAGCCACCCCAGTGCTGCCCCAGGGCTGGTGATGGGGTGTTGACTTACCTTTATTCCTGGAGGACCAGTTAGCCCAGGGGGGCCTTGGACCCCAACTCCTGGATCACCCTTTGAAGGAAAGAGGAGTTATACAAGGTTTAGAGAGTCTCAGGACCATAATCCCCAACAGAGATGCTTCCAGGTAAATATACCTTGTAACCTTTCAGTCCAGGAGCCCCTTTTTGACCCTAAGAAAAAAGAAAGAAAGAAGAAAATAAACCGCATTTGAAAAGGTAGAAATTGGAACACTAGGCCTAGCCTTGGCCCATGAATATTCCCAGGGAAACTCAAATGTGATCATGAACCCCAGAAACTCAGACATGTGACCAAGGACAAGCCTGTGGGAGCTCAGATGAGACCCTGAGCTTGTGAGGGCACTGGCTGAGGGAAGCTCAGACAGGACCACATATCTGTGAGCAGCCAGGCATGGGAATGGGGACCTGGGAGCTCAGATGGGAAGTGCCAGGTTTGGCCACACATGATTTTAGACAAATGGAGCAGGAGCCAAGAAAACTTATAAACATTTGACCAAGGAGAGACCGGGGAGAACAAACAGGAACACACAAGTGTGGGCTCACAGGCAGGGAGGAACGAGAAGATAGGCATAGAGAAGCCAGGCTGGGGTCCCAGGCCCCTCGGAAAGTGGAAGTCAAGAGAGTGTGACCCTCATGTGGTCCCAAGCACCCCAAGAATGACCTCTCCCTCCATGGTCACACTCCTCAAGCCAAGCGTGGACACACCCAGACCCCAGACTCACATCTTCCCCAGGGTCTCCAGGCTCGCCTGCACGACCAGCTTCACCCTGCCCGGAAAGGATAGTGAGGGGCACTGGCCTTTCCCCCATCTACCCAACACTCAGGCCAGGGAACCAGGCCCACTCACCTTCTCGCCCCGTGGCCCTGGAAGTCCTCGGTCACCTTTGGGCCCCTGTAGCCACAAGGGTCAGGAGGCAACACAGGCATCACACAGAGAGATGATACTTCAGGAGGGTGGCATGAGCCCAGGGGTCAAATGTGGGACATACTACAGGTGTCAAGAGTCATAAGGGTTGGTAAATCATGAGCCAAAGGTCTCCTGCCATTGGAGGTATCACACTCACCGGCTCTCGCACCAGGTCTCCAGCAAGGTCTCCTGGGGCTCCCTGATGAGGGAGAGGGGATCTTGAGGTTCTCCGCCCCACCTCCAGCCCTGCTTCTGGGCTCCCACTCACTCACCTTCTCTCCCTTTGCTCCAGGAGGCCCGACCATCACCTACAGGGAATGCTGAGTGACCCTCGGCCACCTCTCCTCCCTGCTCCCACCCGGCCACCTCAGGTAGGATTCAAAAACAGAGGCTTGGGGTGCAACAGAGGAGCTGCTGGAGCAAGCAAAGCAGTATCAAAGGTCACCTGTCCAGGGGGCCCCATCGGTCCAGCCTCTCCCTTAGGTCCAACAGGGCCAGGCAGGCCTGGTAACCCCTGCAGCAGAGCAATGTGAAGAAGTCAGAGCCTGCACCCCACCCTGTCTCTGGTGCCCCACTCCTCATATCCAGGCATACACCTAGGAACAGAACTCCACGACAAGCCCAGCTCCCCCCACAACACGGACCGGAGCACCAGGGCCTCCTCTGTCTCCATCCTTCCCATTGGCACCGTCACGACCTGGGGCTCCTGGCTTCCCAGTTTCCCCCTGCAAGAGAAGAGCTCAGGCAGGACCCACTAGCTAACCCTTGACCCTTGGAACCCAGCCAGCCCCGACCTCCAGGACTCACCACTTGTCCAGGCAAACCTGGTGCCCCCTGCGGACCCTGAGGGAGAATGGATATGAGTGACACAGAGAAAGGAGCATAGGACACAGGAGGACAGGCCACCCTGGGGTAGAGTCAGGTGCCTCTGCAGCAGCCACGGTGACTCACCACAAGGCCGGAGGAGCCAGGAGGGCCAGGAAGTCCCACAGGTCCCACAGGTCCAGGCAGGCCCTGGAGGAAAAACACAGTCAGGGCAGCACCCACCCCGCCATCTCCCTGTGAGCCTCCATGGTGAGCTGGGCCACTCACCCGTCCCGGGGGTCCTGTCTCTCCAGGCTCTCCCTGCAAAGGACCCAGAGACCTCAGCAGCAGAGCTAACATAGGAGGGCTCCTGGTTCTTAGCTCCACTGCAGGCAATGACCATCCAGAAAGTTGGCAGGCACTGCTCTGGGTGTGAGCAGGACTGACTCCCTCCTCCATCCACGTACCCCACAGGCCTGACTCACCTTCGGGCCAGAAGGTCCCTGGGGTCCCACGGGGCCAGTGAGACCCTAGAGAAAAGTGTCAAGGCAGGGACAGGGGTCAGCATGGTCTGTGTGGGCTCAGAGATTCACAGAAACAAGGCCCAGCTCATTGGCAGTGACCAATGCCTGTCCTACCACCTCCCAATATACCCCCACCAGGCAGTGCTCTCCTGTTACTTACTGGGGCACCAGGTGGTCCAGGGTCTCCGTGGCCACCCTGTTAGGGAAAGTCTGATGAAGGCAGCCAGCCCCACTCTACCATAAAATGACCAAGTCCTGCTCATGGGAGTAGGGCGAGAGCCAAAGTGAGGATTCCCAGTACTCACCACTGGGCCTGGGGCTCCCCTGGGGCCCTGCAAACCCTGCATAGGGAAGGAGCTGATGAGCCTCCATCCGGGCCTCATTCAGGCTGCTCCCACCTTCTGGAGCCCACATCCACAATCCCATCTCCTAGATCCCCATTGCCATGTACCACACCCCTCAAGGCTAGCACATACAGGTCCACACACACACACACACACACACACACACACACACACACCATACCACAGACAGCAAGCCTCTCACAGGCACCACCAACCTGTGCTCAAAGGCACAGCCCTGCCCCTCTCACTAGGAACACACACACGCACACCTGTACAGAAACACACACAGCAGAGGCCCCAGGGCTGGGCTGGCCACTCCTGCCTCACTCACCTGCTTCCCTTCATGCCCAGCCACACCGCGCTCTCCTGGCAGACCCTGGAAAGAACGAGTCTAAGGCTGCACTGGCCTTGTGCCCAATGCTAGCTTCTCCTCCCCGCCAGACAGCTGGACAGAGGCCAGACAGTCCAGGGCAGCGCCAACTCCAGCCCCACACATAGGACAAACACGTGAGACCCACGTCCCTGCACACACGAGGCCCACGGGACAAGGACTCACCGGGCTGCCATCAAGACCTCTCTGTCCAGGCTCTCCCCTGTCTCCCTTGATGCCTGGCACACCCTGCAAGCAGCCATTCTGAGTCTCCAACCCTTGCCGTATTTCCACAGACAGGCATACACCACCCCTGGCATGCTCCATACAGGAGGGGACCATGGTGGGGTAGGAGGCCTCACCCTGTCTCCTTTCAGACCTTGGTCACCATCTCTGCCTGGCTCCCCCTGTAGAGCAAGATGCTGGGTCAGGCCAGGGTCTCATGGTGGGGGAACCCCCAGGCTGATCTACACTGACCTTAGCACCCTTGAATCCAGGAGGTCCTTGTTCTCTAGTAAGTCCAGCACCTGGTTCATCAGTGGCCACCTACAAGCACAAGTCCAGGAGGAGAGGTGAGTCTGTTACAGATATCAAAGGGGTCACCCGAGCTCACAGGATCACAGAAAGCTATGAGGTCAGAGATAACACAGGTGGTTTCCGGGTCATTATTCACAGTAATCACAGCAGTTACAGTTACAGGGTAGGGCTGGGGTGATCACCTTGGGGCCAGGAGGGCCAGGGGGTCCAGGGAGGCCAGGAAGGCCATCTCTGCCCTGCAGAAAAGAAGAAAAGGATGTAGCTACACAACGCAGCCTCCAAGCAGCCTCGCCCTGTGCCGTCCACTCAGCTTACTTGTTCTCCGCGTTCTCCTTTCTCACCCCGCTCTCCCTGAAATGCAAACAGGGACCTGTGTCCACAGGGATCCCAAGCTCCCCTGACCCCACTTCCCTGGCCCACCTGGCTAGTCCCAGGCTCACCCTCTCTCCTGGCCGCCCTGCCTCTCCCACAGCTCCAGCCTGGCCTGGGAGTCCAGGAATGCCAGGCTTTCCAGGCTCCCCAGCAAGGCCAGGAGGTCCAGGGGGCCCTCTCTCTGCAAGGGCTAAACCAGGTGGCCCCTGGGGCCCAGGGTCTCCACGATCTCCTTTAAGTCCACGTTCTCCAGGAAAGCCAATGGGACCCTAGGAGAGCAGAGGAGTGAATGCTGGGAGCTGGGAGCATGTGCCCTCCAAGGCCATGCCCACATCACAGCCACCTCTCACCTCTTTGCCTGGGGGACCTTGCTGGCCTGGGTCCCCCTTGGAGCCTCGACACCGATCTGGCATAGGCAGCAGGCTGCCAGAGCTCTCATCCCAGGTCTCCACAATCTCCCTCAGGACAGAGGTCTAAGGTACAGTAAGGAGTCAGAAGACAGATACCAAAGCTGCCACACCCACCCCCAAGCCCATGGGTACTGTTTGCCCCCAGGGTTCCCCTATCTGCTCCCACCCAGCCCTGAATGACCTACTTTGATGCCAACAGTTTCCAGTATCCGGTCCACATTCTAGAGACAAAAGCCTAGTCAGGGAGTACCCACAGAAGAGAAGCCTCTGCCTCCTGGCCCACCTAACCCCAGAAAAATACCCCTATTCCCTCTTGCCCATGCCTCTTTAGCCTTCTGTTGAGGCCTGGCTAGAGGCCACCAGGATTCCCTCCTTGGCATGTCCCATTGTCCCCATTCCCTTGAGTGTAGGCTGCAAGAACCCCAGTGTGGCAGGGGAAGGAGAAGCGGTGGACAGGGGGTTCTCCACAGGTGTGCAAACAACTGCAAGGGCCAGGTCTGAGGTCAGCTCACCGCCGGGTTCACACTCCCAGGTTCTCCTCTGGGACCACGCTCTCCAGGGAGGCCCTGGAGAGATCAACAGACAGGCTTCTAGGATCCATCTTGGGAGGTGCGTATGCATATGTGGGTGCTATGGATAAGAAAGGTGGGGCCTTACCTGTTGCCCTTTAGATCCAGTCTCCCCACGGTCACCCTGAGAACAAAGAATGATGAGGTAGAGAAAATGTCTTTTGACCCTGGCCAGCCCCATGGATGACCCCTACACAGCACACGCACTAACCTTGGGGCCCACGCTTCCTGGGACACCAGGAAAACCCTGAAATATGATAGGGCACAAAAGGGTCACAGAGGATCACGAAAACATCACAACCAAGTCCCAGAACTGCCCTGGACACTCACCTGGCCAGGAAGGCCAACCTGCCCTGGAAGACCTGGAGGGCCCTGGGGGCCAGGGCCCCCAGGAGCTCCACGCTCACCCTTGGGGCCATCATGACCCTGTAGAGGATGCAGCCAGTATCAGCACTCTGATGCCCCAGAAAAGAGTATCACCATATCTCACAAGGTCAGGGTCAGGGCTCAGAGGATAAGGGAGACTCAGCACTCACTTCTCTCCCGGGAGCACCTGACTCTCCCTTCTCTCCCTAAGGAAGAGAAAAGTTTTTCAGACATTGTCCAAACCAAGAGTAGAGCAGGCCCAGGAGAGGGGCTTTACCTTCCTCCCGGCTTCTCCAGGGTCACCAGGTTGTCCCTGGGGGCAGAAGACCCATATTAGCAAACAGTCACTAGTGCCTGGCTTCAAGAAACCATCTCAGCATATTTCAGATGACCATGACCAAATGTCTGTGCCTGACTATGGCTCTGCTGGTCTCAGAGTGTGGTGTGTGCCCAACTGAGGGCACTGCTGCCTACCCCATGGCATGCCCAGATGGTGAGCCTCTCACCTCTGCATGGCCTGCACATGTCCCCCACGTCGTGTCTGGGATGAGGGTGCCCGTGTGTTAGGAGGTGTTTTATATATGTGCCCCGCAGTCTGAGTGCCTTAGAAGGTGACTGCAGCTTAGTATGAATACATGTCTTGACCCATGACTGCACATAGGCAAGGGCTTCCACATGTACACCCAGGTCGCGGGTGCCTTGGCATCTGTCTGCAGATCTCACATGCTGCATTGGGAATGGTGACTGCTGATAAAAATGCACGTCGGCATGTCCCTAAGTGTGTCACAGGGCACTGCCATGGATGTGTGTCTCATTGTATCTCAACACATGCAGTCCTGGGTCCAAGTTTTAGCACACACCTGTGGGAGGTGTTGCCAGACACAGCCCTATCTGTCTGTCCCTCCCCACCTGTACTTGTGTGCATGCTCATGGGTTATCTCAGCCTGGGTCAGCCCCTTCAGGCACAAGGTCACAGCCATGTGTGTCTGCACAGCTGCCCGTGTGCACACTGGGACGTGCGGTTGGGTGTGCAGTGCTTTATGTGCTATCTGTGCCTGGACTGTGTGTGCCACGGCTGCCCTGAACTTACATTCTTCCCATTCAGGCCAGGCTTGCCATCCTCGCCCGGCTTTCCCTGCAGGAACAGGACATCAGTCAGGTGTCACCATTCAGCAGAAGGTAGGAAGGGGACAGAGGGCAGCAGGACTCACCGGTGCTCCAGGGGGGCCAGAGGGGCCAGGGAGCCCGTGCTCTCCTCGGAGGCCTGGAAGCCCCTGGAAGAAGTCTTGGCTAGGATTGAGAGGGCCTCACAGACATCTCTCCAGAACACCCCATGGGCTGGGAGGACCACCCCAACAACTCTCCATTGTAGAGACCCCCCCCAGGATTGGGAGATCCCATTTCGATTCCCTGAGGCACAGATACATGGGTTAGGGGATCCCCTGCTGAGACTCCCAAGGGACAAACCTCCCAAACTTGGGAGCTTCTTATGAACCCTAGGACAAAGAACTTTAGAAAGGGAAACTATACTAAAACCAGCTAGCCTGGAGCTGAGGCCTCTCCCAAACTCAGAGCACTACAAATTGGGGACTGTCACGGGTGCTGTGACCATGAGGACCCCTCAGCCACCTCCATCCAGGGTTCCCCTCACTTACGTCTCTCCCTGGCTCCCCGGCTTTGCCAATAGCACCCTGAGGAAAGAGTCAAAGTCAGGATCAAGGGGTCCAGGGCTCGACTGCTGGCACTGGTTCATGGGACCCAAGACCAACAGTGCCAGCAGTATGTCCCACCCAGGCCAGGTTCTGGAGACGGACTGCACATCTGTCCTGGAGCTCAGAATTGAGATGAGGCTAGGACCCTAAGTCGGCCTCTGAGGGCTACAGGGAAGTGATCAAAAAGCAGCTGACTACAACTCACTGGCTCCCCAGGAGGTCCAGGTGTGCCTGGTTTGCCATCCAGCCCACTCCGGCCATCCAGCCCAGTAGGGCCCCGGTCACCCTGAGGAAAGCAGAGAAGCAAGAGGCCTTGAAGACAGAGCTGGGTCTGGGAGCCAAGCCCACCTCCTGAAATTCCATCTCACCTTTTCTCCCGCTGGGCCTCGGACACCTGGGTCCCCCTGGAAGGAAGAGGGTCAGACAAGAGGTGAGAGCAAGGTGGGGACTTAGGCTGAGGGGTGGGGGGCAGCACTCACCTGCAGGCCTGGGGGCCCTCGAAGCCCATCAATGCCCTGAGGAAGAGGAGGCAGGGTCAGAGCAGGTTTTCCCAGGCCCGCCTACCCCAAGGGGCTAACCAACTCACCCTCTCCCCAGAGGCTCCAGGAGGGCCAGGGTCACCCTTGGGTCCTCGAGGACCCTCCTGGCCACGCTCGCCAGGTTCTCCCTATGGCAGAGACAGGCAGGCTAAGAAAACAATTCTCAAGCTACAAGCATGCTAGTAAGAGGATGCTGGGTCCTTCCTAGCCCAGAACTCATCCTGCCCTAGGTCCCAGTACCTTCTCTCTGACGCCAAGCGCTGCCTCCACCTGTGGGGTAGTGAGTCAGAGAACAATGCTTCAGTGACGAACACGGATTGGTGAGGGGACATAGGGCCCCTCTTGTAGTGAGGGACTACAAGAATTACCGAAGGTGTAGTGGGGCCACAGGTATAGGTGTCAAGAGGCAGGTGAAGGGGATGCCTAGACCAGACCCATGTCAATGCTTACCAGTGGTCCAGGGAGTCCCGGTGGGCCCTGGGAAAGACAATGACCACAGTCTGCAGGAGCCCTGAAGTCCAGTTTGCCTCAGGCTCAGCTCTGTCCCTAAAGCCCACACAGCACCCCAATGCCACCCCCCAGAAGGCCTAGGATGGCCCGTCGTGCAAATACTGAGCAGCAGTGGCACTAGGGGAATCTTCCTACTCAAGCCCAGGCCAGCCCCACTCACCGGCTCCCCACGGTCACCCTTAGGTCCCACCGGTCCAGGGATGCCCTGCAAAAAGCCAGGGGCCAGGGTCACTCAAGGTAGGGAATAGGTGGGGGATCTTTAGAAGCACATAGGGACTCATGGGGTCCTGGTGACCTTTGTGGTTAAAGAGTCACAGGAAGGGGGAATTGTGAGGGCCAACGCTGCAGGATTGGGGTAGCAAGGCAGGGCTTGGAATTAGATGGTTGGGGGGTTGGTGTTAGTGGGGTTTGGGAGTAAAGAACCAAGGTTGGGACTCACATTTCGCCCATCCTCTCCAGGGTCTCCGGGGTCTCCCTTCTCACCCACAGGCCCTGGGGCTCCAGGTACCCCCTAAGAACAGCCAGTCTGAAAAGATCCTGCGAGCATTCTGTGGCTTTCTCATGAACACCTATCTACACTGCCCTATGCTTGACCCCAATCCACACCTTGGTTACCCATCATCCCACACCTCCCTGCAGGGTCTCCCCAACCTCTTCCACACTTCTTTCACCCCATGCCCAGTTTTCCCATCACCTCCCTTCTTCCTGCCCACACTCACCCGAAGGCCACGCTCTCCCGATTTCCCAGGCAAACCTGGGTCACCCTGGTGATAGAAGCAGGTGAGTTAGGAACTAACTCCCTCAGGGGTTGGGGACAGAGGGTCTGGGAATGAGCTGGACAGAAGGCGGAAGACAGCCTGGATGCCATGGTGGGGTCCCAGACCACAGGCATCACAATTTAGGGGTACAGGGTCAGAAACCACAGTGGGGAAAAGTCTTACCGGGGGACCCTCGTCACCTTTCTCTCCAACTTGACCCTGTGAGATGTGAGATTCAGCCTTGGTCCCAAGACCCCCCAGAGATGCTACCAACACCCCCTGCTCCACTGTTTCCCATGACTCCCCCAACTCTTACATCACGTCCTTGAGGGCCAACAGGTCCAGAAGGGCCAGGCCGCCCTGGCTCTCCTTTTTCTCCAGGATGCCCTGAGTCACCCTATGGGGGAGACGAGAATGAGGCGACATGGAATACATGCAGCCTTTGAAAGGCAGGGATCCCTGAAACCTTGAGGTCACCCTAGGTCATGGATACTTACTGGGGGTCCTGGTCTGCCAGTGAAGCCAATGGGACCCTGAAGTGGTGAGGAGGAGAACAGGACTTAGTCACAGCTTCTAGATACCATTTCTTGTCACGATGCCCACCCTCACATCTACTCACTTGGTCTCCAGGGTCTCCCTTGGGGCCAGGATCTCCAGGAACAGCCAACCCAGGTGGGCCCTGTGGGAAGAAAGACGGGAAGTCAGGGGGAATATCCTTCATAGGTCCAACCCCCGAAAGACCTTCCCTTCACTCACTGGCCCTCCTTTGACTCCTGCAGCTCCTCTGGGCCCAGGGGGCCCCACATCTCCCTGGAGGTGACAAAAACCATCAGTGCTGGTACCCAGCTCCAGGTACAACTCCAAGCCAGAAATCATGCTGCAATCCCAGGACACTCAGGTAGGCCCATCAACAGCCTTATTGCCTGGACCTCAACCGGCAGCAACCTCTCAGCCCCGTACCTTCTCTCCTTTGGCTCCAGCACCAGTAGGTGTCTGAAAACAAACAGGACAGATCCATTTTGGCCCCATCTGGGGATCAGAGGACCAAGGCTTGACTGGGACAGTTGTTATACAAAGCTAGAAGTCACAGAGCTCAGGCCCCAGCTCAGCCACTGGGATGGCCACTGAGGTATTATTAGGGATGTAAGATGAGCTAACACAAAGCCTGTGACTAGTATGGCAGTCATGGGGACAGAAGATCACAGCCAGGAATCTGGGGTAGCTTACAGCAGAAAGAGACCACAGAGCTCTGAGCTGGCCCTGCGTCCCAGTACCATGGGGTCGCCACCTGGAGCAGTGGCTTACAGGGTTTCCACTCTCCACTCACTCACCACTATCGCAGGGTCCCCAGGGCGGCCAGGTTCTCCCTGTAGAAAGAGGACAGGGGCAGAAACAGGACAGAGACCCATCTGGGAACCCCGGGTCCCAGCGTCCCACCTGCCATATCTCTACTACCAAGCGGTAGAATACCCCACCCGTGACTCACCTTCTCTCCTCGGCGGCCGGCAGGTCCTGGTGGCCCCTGGAGGGGATAAAGTGTGAGCCTAAGAAAAGCTCAAGGCAGGGGTGGGAGCCCATACAAAAGCCCCATGCCTGGCCCTGCCAGTCACACTCACTTCAGGACCCCTGGCTCCAGGATTTCCAGCAAGCCCCAGTGGCCCCTGGGGAAGAAAACCATAAATGCCACCCCAGGTGGGTGGGAGACTCCAGGCAAATATAGGGGAAGGGGCAGAACTGGGGCAGCTGGACAGAGGCAGTGGAGGACTCGGGTTTAGAGAGGCACCAGCCAGACTCAGCAGGAGGGCAGAGACCACATCAGCTCAGCAGGTCGGACAGTGAAAGCTGGGTGCCTAGGGTGGGGGCTGAAGCCTGATCAGCGGATTCAGTCAGAGGAAGATGGGGGCTGGGGAAGGCCCAGTGGGCATCAGGGGCACAAAGTCAAAGCCAGGAGAGGACACAGAGCCCACTGGCAGCTGACAGTTTGCACTGGTGTAGAGGTCAGTGGGCTTACCTGGGGTCCCACTGGACCAGGGAGTCCCCGTTCACCCTGCGGGACAGAAGAGGTCAGAGTGGACTGTGGCCCCAGATTCTTCTGGTCCTTAAGAGCCCCCAGGTCCCACTTACTTTTGCTCCAGTCTCTCCAGGGGGTCCTGCCAGCCCCCGGTCACCCTGAGGAAAGAGAGGATAGGAAGAGGCCTTAACCAGTGAGCCCCAAACAAGGGCTCAAACTCCAGCAGTCCTCATCTGAAATCACAGTGCTTGGCCTGAGCAGAACCTTTACCTTCTTATCTTCCAGCCTCCCTTTATACCACAGGGGTCCCAGAATATCACCCCTCACATCTGATCCCCCACTCACTTTAGGACCAGTGAATCCAGGAAGTCCCCGAAGACCCTGGAGGGGATCAGTTTGGGAGTTCAGAGACATAGCTTTGGTATACAGGTTGGGGAGGGGTTGATGGTTAAGTGTGGGGACTGGAACTATGCCCACCACATGGGGAACCCTGGCCTCTAACTTACCAGGTCACCTGGGGGGCCAGGCTGCCCTGGGAGGCCTGGGGCTCCATCTTCACAGACACCCTGAAGGAGAGAGTGGGAAGGTCCAGAGTATGTTCTGCCCCTAGCACCCTGCTCTAGAACTGGAGCATTAAGAGGAAGATGTCCTACCTTTTCTCCTTTCTCTCCAGCAGGGCCAACTGGGCCTTGGGGTCCAGGATTTCCAGGAAGACCCTAGAAGAGGAAGGAACATGGGAGCTAAGAGCTATGAAGCCCATGACCCAAAGGCTGCCCTGTCCCTGTCCCTACCCATGCCCCTGAGAATGTCCTCTCAGTCCTTACCGGCAGCCCAGGCTCTCCAGAAGCAGTGCCACCCACACCTGGTCCAGGTGGACCCTGGAAGAGAACAGCAGGTCAGGGAGTACCAGGGGAATCTGACTCTAAGTCATACCCTGCATTCCTTGTCCCTCACTTACCCGCTCCCCACGATCGCCTTTGTCACCCTGAAAGACAGATCAGATCCTGTGACCCTGGACATGCCCCGCCCCAAGATACACAATGGATGAGGCTCCCAGTGTCAAACTGGACTGTAAGGGTCATGGGGAACTGAGGAGGCATGAAAGGGGTGCAGCTCTAAAGGTGAAAGCAGGACCATGTGTGGGTTCCAATAGGGTCACCAGATCTCTGAGTCATATGGAGGTGGAGACCCATATGGGGTCCTACTGTTACCTTTACAGCTGATCCAGGAAGCCCTGGGGGGCCACGAGGTCCTAGGCCCCCCGAAGGGCCGCGAGGTCCAGGGGGGCCCTGATAGAGCAAACAGACTGTAAGGTGCCACCCCACAGACTTTGCTTTCACCCCTCCATGAGTCTCTCAGCACACATCACCTGTCCCCACACACACTGGGACTTACTGAAGGTCCAGGTTCCCCTTTTCTCCCAGGAAGCGCTGGTCCCAAGTCCCCAGTGACATACCCAGGCTCCCCCTACAGGGCAGAGAAGACCATTACAGGATTTAGGTAGGATGTCCAACCCCTTACCTCAGGCCCCGCCTAGGGTCTGGCCCAAGGCAACCCTGTCCCTCCCTGGAACATCTTCACCTACCGGCTCCCCCTTCAGGCCTCGAGGCCCTTGCTCTCCCTAAAGATGAAGCAGAGCAGAGGGAGGCTCTCAGGCTCAGATGAGTCTCCGAGGAGGCTCCCACAGGCCAACGCCCTCCCTCTCCAGGGCCCCCACATTGGAGGAAAACCCTGGGAAGATGCTAGGACGGTAAAGAAAGCACAGTACGTACCGGTGCCCCGCGAGGGCCGGGCAGCCCTGGGGAGCCCTATAAATGGAGGACAGAGTCAGAAGCATCATACCCACTCGAGTGATTGTCCCACTATGACCCACGAGGTAAGGCTTTCTCACCTTCAGACCAGGGGTCCCAGGAGTCCCAGGTTGACCAGGGATGCCTGGAGGCCCATCCACTCCAGGGAAGCCCTAAGGAGGCAAAGTGGTCAGAGCAGGAAGGGACCCTCTCCAGTGACCTGGTTTTCTGGAAGAGCCCACCCCACAGATCCAAGTGTTGTCAGGTAGAGAAGAGGGGTAAAGAAGTGGCCTCCCCAAGCTGAAGTGATCTCAGTTCCAGGCTCATGGCAGTGGGGAGACATAGAGCCCTTCTGCCTCTGGAACCTACAGCTGCCACCCAAAGCTCTCTGAGGGATCTTGTGGCATCACCCTGTGGCATCTCCACTTCAGAGCCTTCCCAAGTCTCTGCCCATGTTTCCAGGAATGCCTTTGGCTCTGGCTCTGCTTCCTGGTTCCTCCTAAATCCCCTGGGACTACTGCACAGATGGCCCTAGGCAAAGCACGATGGTCTTCTCACTTACCCTCTCGCCCTTTGCGATAGTACTTCCAGGGGGACCCGGGGGACCAGGAGCACCAGTCCTGCCCTGAGAGAGCAGAGCAGGTAAGAAAGCAGAAAGCCAGTCAGGGCAGGGCCAGGCACAGCAAGGCACTCACCGGGAAGCCAGGGGAGCCAGGGGCCCCAGCTCGTCCTTCCGGGCCCTGGGAAGGAGAAACTCGAGTGTTATGCCACCAGCTGCCTCTGCCCCAGTGACGCCAGCCCACTCTGCACCCCCGCAGGACCACTCACCATCGCTCCAGGCTCTCCCTTCTGGCCCTGAGGAAAGACATGTCCAGTGAGGCTGGAGAGGCTGACCCGTGGTAGCCATCCCCACACCCTTGGCTCCAGACACTCACCTTTGGACAATGGACGGAGCAAGGTCCCAGCTGGGGCTGCAGGCACAAGGTCTTTTTGAGCCAAGAAGTGCTACTAGGAACCCCACATGTAGCCCCCCCCCCCAGAGGCTGCTTCCAAACCTGAGTGGCTAAGGCTGCCTGACACAGGGCTCTCGCTAGGTCACCGACCACCTGGTCCAAGCTTGGGCCATCATCCACCGCAAAGAAATTCTGGGGAGGGTCCATGTCTGGCACCAAGCGCCGCAGCTGCTCTGGGTCAGCTCCCGCCAAGCCCAGTATCATCACCTTGAGCCCTACAGAGGGGTCAGCAACCTACATGAGGACCCCACTGGGCTCACCCCTACTCCCAGGCCTCTGCCCCATCATCTATACTCCTCACCAGCAGACTGGGCCTCACGGATAGGACTGGATATGTCACCTCTCAGCAGCTCATCAACCAGCAGAACCATCACCCCTGGCACTTGCTGACGGCGTCCAGGTGCATCGGGCGCCAAGAGCTGCCTGTGAGCTACAAGCACAGCCGCCCCTGTGAGGAAGGACACATCAGAGCCCTAGGACACTGAGCTCCCCTTGGGAAGCCCCAAGTCCATACCCAGATTGTTTCCACTTGGGTCCGCATAGGAGATGCCCCGGATCTTCTGCAAGATGATGCCAAGGTCGTGGGAACTATTCAGTTGGAACAGTGGTGATGGCCGGTGACTATAAGACAGCAGGCCAACCTGGGGTGGGAGAAACAGAGCACTGGGGGCATGATAGAGCAGGGACAAAAGTGTACCGGGGCTGGAGAAACAGAGAAATGAGGGCAGGTGTAACTAAACCAGGACAGTTCAGCAGGGGCCACCAGGCATGGCAGGAGAGGTGGGATAATCTGCAGCTTGGAAGGCAGCTGGGAGAAGGCCCGACCTATGGTGGGGCAGAGACCTAGAGGGGCTGTGTAGGGCCTGGGGTGGGAAGGGGCAAGAGGAGATAGAGTCTGGCTGCCTCTGGACCAAACCTGGGCAGCCTGAGGCCCGAGGGGCCCAAGTGCAGTCACCAGGCGCTCTAGGACCCGCCTCACAGCCTCCGCACGGTGAGCACTGTCTTGTGTGGTGTGCAGCAGGAAGACCACGTCCACCAGGCCATGAGGACACGCTGCAGGAGGCAGTCGAGTTACTGCTCGTCATTCACCAACCTACTGCTTAGGTTTCTCCCACCTGGGCTCTTAGGTCCCTCCATACCTGGGCTCTGCATGACAGAGACCTCAGAACCCCGTACGCCTGCCTGGACAGGAGTCAGGGAAAAGACATAGGAGACCCCAGGTTGTAGCCCTGTCACCCTCTGGGAGCTCAAAGTCCCTGGAAGTGGCTGTGGGGTCGTAGGTACATCTGCAGAGAACAGGACCTGGTTAAAAAAGGGCACCTCAGTTGCCAGCCCACCCCAAACTGGCTCCTCCTCACCGTGGCTGGTGCCTCTGATTGGCCACCAGGACAGAACGTAGTTGGACACCCCAGACACTGGGGTCCAGGCCAGAGTGACTGAGTCAATTGAGGTGTCTACCACACGGAGTTCAGTGCTTGGGACACGAGGTGACTCTGAAAGAAGAGTCAAAGATCAAGGATCAGAGGCTGTGCCCTGAGAAGCCAGAGGAGGAGCAGCTGAGATCCTAGGGTAGGTTCATCGTGGGGGATCACACTGAGGTCACCCCAGAGGCACAGAAATGAGGGGATGGGAGTCCCTTGAATCTGCAGGGAATCAGGACAGGTCACCAGTAGGAGGAGCATAACCAGGCAGGCAGGCCCCCTGTGCTCACCAGTGTATGCAGTCAGCTCCCTGGGAGGCCCTTCCCCAGCTGGCCCCAGGACGCTCAGCCACACATGGTACCGTGTGTTTGGCTGCAGCCTGTCCAGGTGGTAGCTGCTGAACTCAGGGCCCAGGACCTGTGACTGCTCCTGACCACCTAGGGCAAGATGAAGGTAAGGGCCAGAAGCAAGTGGGAGGACACTCCTGCATCACTGATGGGTCACGAACCTCACTGACCCCCACTGTCCTCATTGACTCTACCATCCGAGTCCCCGTCCTCACTGATCGCCCACTTCACTGACCCTGCCCATTCACTCTCTGTGACCTCAGGGATCCCACCACCCAACTGACCTTGCCTACTGGGAGTTCCCAGGATAAGACTGGGCTGACTATATGCCCACCTACAGCCCACACCCCACCAGTCTAGGCCTCCCACTGGGACACCACTCACCCTCAGGTCGCCAGCGTAGCCGAAAGCCACGTGCCCCGGACACCGGGTCCCATTGCAGCTTCAATGAATTTTCCCCATGCTGCACCACACGAAGGGTCTCCGGGATGCTGGGAGCCTCGGGTGCTGGAGCGAGCACGAGAATGTGGGCCCCACGGAACTTCATGCAGGCATCTCCCCAGCAAGCCCTGCTACCTGTCCCAGGCTTCCTCCTTTCTCCTCCCAGGCCCTCACAGGCTCACCCTCAATCCATGGTGCCTTTTCCAACTGCAGTACCCCAATGCAATCCCTCCCTACCCATACAAGCCCCACTCTGCCTACGTGTAGTGACAACAATGGAGACAGGTGCTCCCTCTTGGTCCCCGACTAGGGCAGTCACTCCCACCGAGTAGCTGATTCCTCCTTCCAGACCCTGTATCTCTGCAGAGTCAGTATTTCCTGGGAGTAGCTGCTGTCTGGTGGGGCCACCTGGCCAGGAGAGCAAAGAGTCAGCTGTCATGGGTGGTGTGGCTCATCAGAAGGGCACCTCAGCCAAGAAGGGCAAGGGTACAGTCAGGGAGCCAGACCTTCACTCCTGCCCCACGCCAGTCTGTAGGCTGTGGCTCCAGGGACCCCTACCCAGGTCACCCGCAGAACATCACTGGAAGCATTGAGGATCTGCAGCTTTGACACGCTGCCCACCGGCTCAGGAGCTAAGGACAGAGTGGAAATGAGGGGTCAGGAGGCCTGGGTCTCTGGCACAGAGAAGAGGGGGGCAAGTGTGAGCATAGTTAAGGCAGGGTCTGAAGGGTAGATGCAGTTTGTGTGGATGCCTCGGCAAAAGGGAGGTCAGTGTCTCAGACTGGACAGTGTGGGGCAGCCATGAGTGCACTGTGGGTAGAAACTCAACCCACAGGGGCAGTTCAGCAGGCATGGCATTCACTGGACAACAATGAACTGGGCAGGCAGAACAGTCAGAAATACACAGCAGGGTGGGCAGGGGCCAGCCAGGGAAGTATGGCTCACAGCTGGCCAGGGTCCACTCACCAGTCCTCACAACCACAGAAGCAGGGGCTCCTTCCACACCAGATACGTGGGCCCTCACATGCACTATATACTCAGTGTCTGGCTCCAGCCCATCTAGGTCAGTCACTGTGGCCTCCCCGGCAACCAACTGGGATCTCTCTGGACCTGGGAGCAGAGATGGATCCAGCTCCAAGACTAGCCAGACTCTGCCCCACAGTGTCCCTCCTACGCAGACCCCCAAGAGACGCCAGCCCACACTCTATCCAGCTCTGCCTCCCATCACCCTCCCAGAGCCCTGGTCCCCACCGTGTCCTGAGCGCCAGGAAACTCTGTATCCTGTGGTGCCAGGAACCCTGGTCCAAGCAATGGTGACAGATGAGCTGCCAGCCTGAGTTACATGGACTTGCCTCACTGGGCCCAGAGGATCTGAGGAGAGAGGCCATGAGGCCATGAGGAGTCGGACAGGACATCAGCGCAGGGTCTGAGTAGAGGGCGGCAGGGCCATCTGACCAGAAGGCTGTGGGAATCTAACAGGTGAGGGGATCTGAGAGCAGACAAGAAGCCTCCTGACAGAAAGGATAATGGGAACCTGTGTGGCTGGTGGCAGGAATCTGAGACAACAGGTCTGACAGGCTAGGGGTGGTCTGGTGGAGGTGTGAGGATGCAGTGAGGGGATCTGGCAAAGAGAAAGTGTAGGTCTAAGAGACAGCTGGGCCCAGAAAAAATCTGGGTCTTTGGGATGAGTTGAGGGAATCTGAGGCCAAAGACAATGGGGGTCTTAGAGGAAAGGCAGGGAGGGGTGAAGAAGGGAAGGCTGAAAGGAAGGCTCTGGGGACTGAAGAGGGAAGCGGGGCCCTGAGGTGGAGGCAGCGGAAAATGAGGGGACAAATTCTGGGGAGAAGGGCCTGAGGGAGGGGCATAGAGTCTGAAGTGGCACTAGAGGCAAAGAACCAAGGGACAAGATCAGGCCCTGACCAGTTTGCGCCACGATGACCCCGGGGGGGCCCTCTTCTCTCCCTCGAAGTGCCAGCACAGCCACCTGGTAGGAGGTTCCAGGCTGCAGCCCGAGGATGTCTGTGGCAGTAGAGTCTGGAGGCAATGTCTGGCTAGACTCAGGACCTAGGATCAGAGGGACATGGTGACATGGCTCCCACCTGTCCCTGCAGTCCCCACATTTGAGGGGGGATGGGGACAGGAACTTGCTGTGTAGTTCAGGCCGGTCTTGAACTCACTATGTAGCCTAGGCCAGCCTCAAACTCACGGTGATCTTCCTATATAAGCCTCCAGAGGCTGGGATTACAAGCGTGCACAACCACACCTGGCCAGTCCCCACACTTTGACTGCTCCTCTCAGCAATCCTCCTGCACACCCCACACTGACCACTGCCTGTTCTCCAGCTAATCCGAAATCCACTGGCTCCAGGAATGGGGCTCCAGGCCACCCGTATTCTGGTTGCATCTGACAGCACAACCTGAAGTACTGGGATGGCAAGAGGTGCTTCTGATTCTAAGGTTAAAGACAGACAAGAACCAAGGATCAAGCCCCAGGCAGGAGTGAGTCCATCAGGTACCCCACCATTGTCCTGCAGTGCTCACCTCGGCGGATGGTGAGAATGCTGGCTTCACCCTCCTGGGGGCCCATGCGAGCAGACACCCGCACAGTGTAACTAAGCCCTGCCCGAACGTCATCCAAGTCGAAGGTAGTCTGGCTCCCAGGAAGCACCAGGGTGCGCTCAACCCCTATGACGGAAGGCAGTATTGGCAGGTAGGGTTAGCAGGGACACGTGGCATGGTGGCAGTCAGGCATGGACAGATTGAGGAGGCTGGAGATACAGAGTGACAGAGGCCAGAGAAATGGGATGCAGACAAAAAGGTGAATGAGAGGCAAGGACGCAGGGCCAAAGGAACCAGTGCTAAATTGGAACCCTTGGTGACACAGGTCAGTGAACAGACACAAGGCACACAGGATGACAGCAGCAGCAGACAGCAATCCGAGTCAACAGGCACAGAAAGGCTGATAACAGAGAGGTCAGGGTCAACAGTGGTCATAGCTGGGGTGATGGAAGGGAAGGTGACAGAGCTTGTGCTGGTGGCGAAGGGAGGGCGAGAGCCATAGACAGAGCTGGGCATGGTGGTGCACACCTATAATCCCAGATTTTGGGAGGTTGGGGCAGGAGGATCGCCACAAGTGCAATGTCAGCCTGGGCTACACAGTGAGTTAAAGTCCACCCTGACCTACACAGCAAAACCCTGTCTCAAAAACAAAACCAATGCCATAAGAGGTAAGGAAGAATGGAGACAGAGCCGGGTAAAGCAAGCCTCTAGGGCAGGGGCCAGGCAGAGTGGAGGCTATTCTGGGTTCCAGGTCACCTTAGGAGGAGGAGGAGGAGGAGGCAGTAGGGACCCGCTGGAAGGAGACAGGGAGAGCGTACACTGAGACCCACGGGCTGGAACTTTAGCATGCAGGGAGCTCCCCGCCAACCTCACCCTCACCCTGGGTGCTGCGCACAGTGACTCGGTACTCGGTGGCACTAGGGACTGGACTCCAAGACACTCTCACCCGCTGCCCAGGCAGTTCAGTCACTTGCAGGTCCCTCACAGGGCCCAGGGGCTGTTCCGGCCCTGCTGGATGGCACAGCATGAGAGGCAGCCTGGGGCCACCCATCTCCCCCAGGGCTCAGCCTGGCCCCCAGAGCCCTCACCAGTGGGGACCACCATAGCAGGTGTGGCCACCTCACGGCCCTCCAGCAGAGTATAGAGCGTGAGGCGATACTCAGTGCCAGGCTGCAGCCCCGTCAGCTGGTAATGGGTCACATCTGCAGGCAGTACCACCTTCTGCGGTGGCTCTAGGCCTAGAAAACAAGGGTATCAAGCCAGGTAAAGACACACCTAGACCCCCCACCCCACTCCCTACTCACCACTCTCTCGATACCACTCCAGCCGATAGCCACGGGCCTCGGGAACCAAATTCCAGGACAGGAGGACAGCTGTGGGGCTCAGGATGACAGGGCTCAAGGTCTGCTCCACAGAGGAGTCTGCCAGGGCACATGGGACCTGAGTGGCCTCTCCTCCTTCCCTGCCAGCCCACCCCAGCCTGAAGAAAGACCCAGCCTGCTCACCAGTGCTTGCAGTGAGGGGAGTGACCGGCCCAACGCTATGGCCAAACATGGCACTCACGGTCACCTCGTAGTCTGTGTGGGGTTCCAGGTCACGCAGCAACACTGAGCCCTGTCCAGGGCCCAGCTCCTGCTGCTTTATGGTGCCCCCTGAATGGAGGGAAATGGAGGAGGGCTCCAGGGGCCTTGCAGATTAGAGGCTCCAGGGCCTTGTCTGCAGCATGGGGGTGCCTTTGGCCCACACCTTCCACTTACCACTGAGGGTGCGCCATGTCACACGGTAGCCAGTGGCACCTGGCACACTCTGCCAGGCCACCAGGAGGCTATGGGCTGTGGTGTTCTGGATGGTCACCTCTGGTCCCGCCCGGGCAGCTGGGGGAAAGATTAGCAGAGTGGGAGAGGGCAAGGGGCATGGGGACTAGCGGTTAGGTGGAGGGGTCAAAGGTGGGCAGAAGAACTCACTGGTGCGAGCAGTCCCACTCACGGCCTCCCCGATGCTGTTGGCATAGAGAGCAACCACGGTCACCTGGTACTCAGTCAGAGGCCGCAGCCCTCGCAACCACACACTGGTCTCGCCAGCTGGGACTTCCACCTGCTCAGGGTCACAGGATACCTTATCTGGTCCAACCCAGCACCAGCCACCCACCCGTCACCCTTGGCAGCTTTACCTCCTTTCGCTCATTTGGTAGTGGCCGTCCAAGCCCTGACAGAGGGTGGTAATGGACCCGGTAGCCAGTCACAGGGCCACTAGCTGCAGTCCATTGTACTCTCAAGGACTGACTGCCTAGCTCGGACAGCACCAGGTCCCGGGGCCCAGACGTCAAGTCATCAGCTGCAGAGGGAGAGAGGTGATCAGGCAGATCAGATAGGAAGGCGAGGTGTCAGAAGTACAAGGGAGGGACCCAGCACTCCTAGCCCGAAGCTGGCAGACATGCAGAAAGGGTGAGGACTCACATGGCAGGGTTACAGGCACGCCCCCAGCAGTTGTGCACACTCTCCGGGAAATGAGGGGCAGCAGTGTCCTCAAGATGCCAAAGTCATTGACAAAGAACGAGAAATCACTGCTTGGCTGGGAAGCAACTCGCTTCAGCTCCTCAAAGTCAGCGTGCTTGATCCCTGAGGGCAAGGCCAATTAGGACTCCTCACCCATGTGTTCCCTGAATGGCCCCGCCCAGCTGACCCACACAGCAGCTCTGTACTCACCCACAGCAAACAGCTTGACGCCCTGCTCCTTCACCCGCTGGGCAGCTGCATCCACCAGGTCCTGGGACTTCCCGTCAGTGACCAGGATGCAGATCTGAGGCAGGAGCAGGAGCCAAGTCAGGGCTTCCTCAGACACTTACTTTGCAATCACCAGGGGCGGCAGGGCTGGGCTAGGGATCACCTTGGGGATGCCAGGTCGGGACAGCTGGGTCCGGAAGATGTGGTCAGACACGTGGAGCAGTGCGGCCCCTGTGCGAGTGTTGCCCTTCTTGTAGGTGAGCGCTCGGATGGCACGGATCACATCACCCCCAGAGCCAAGTGCATCCAGGTCAAATTCTGTCCTGATGGAGCAGGGATGGTGCCAGGAAAAGGATAAGGACCTTTCTCTCCCAACCTTGGCCCTAATAGGCCTCTGCATCTGTAATTCCTCCCCTGCTTGAATCCCCTCATGTTTACAGATTCCCAGGGACACCTCTGTGCCCCACTGTGGCTGGGCCCATCCTGTCAGGAGCCTTTGGGGTTCACAGCCTAGGGGGACAGTATGTTTAGTAAGATCATTGCTGGAGGAAGTTTAGTCAGGGAGCTTCTGATGAACAGAGAGGAAGAAGGGGGTCAGGGAGCTAGCACTGAGAGTGAGCAGCTGGCAGCACTGGGTATCTGGGGCTCCTGGGCCCCTCCTCCTTCCATGCCTATTCAGATTAAAGCCAGAGCTGCCTGTGTTGGGCAGTGTACTCTCCCAGCACTGAGTGCCCTCTAGAGTGAATCCCTACCCTCTCCAGAGAAGAGCTTGGCTAGGGACTCTCTGGACTCCTCAAATACTGTTTCTGAACCGACCCTGCCCAGGCGCATCCAGACTCCCTATCCTGCTTGGTGAACTCAACAGGTCCCCACCTCCCCAGGCCACACTCACCGTGGGTCATCACTGTACTGCACCGTGGCAAAGCGCACTCCCTGGGCACTAGCTGCCCCTGAGAAAGGCAGCACCAGCCCCTCCAAGAATCCCTGCACTTCTTTGAAGTTGTTGCGGCCAATGGAGGAGGAGCCATCCAGCAGGAAAACAATGTCAGCGGCATAAAGATGCGTGCAGGTCACTGGAGCCCAGGAAAGATCATGACCTTTTCTGGGAGTCCACAGGCCTCCTCCAATATTGTGGAGCCCTGGCCCTGGGTCTGGGGTGGAGGGCAAGCCCAGCAAGGTGGCCTGGGTCTGGGAGCTTTTGGAGGGAACCTCATGGGGCCCAAAACAACTCTCCTGAAAGGGTGAGAGCATGCAGGGAGGGAGATTCATGCTCCAGTGTGGATCTGGGACTGAAGTCAGCCTCTGGGGACCAGCTGAGGGCAGCGGAAGGCAGGGGTTCAGCATGCAGATGGGGCCTAGACTGGAGGACCTGGGAAGCCTGAGGACCCGAGGAGGGGGAGGGGTTGTGGAGGTCGAGGTGTCAGAGATGAGGGTCACATGGAGAGATGGGTGACTGGACGCTGTGCCCACCTCTTTCTCCAGGTTGGGCCCGCAGTAGGGGCGCCCCCACCAGGATCCCAGCGCAGAGGACAGGCACCAGGAGCCACGGCCTCATCCTGCGCGATAGAAGCACTCACCCAGGATCCCTGCCCCGGCCTCTTGCCCCCGTGGTCTCGGCAGGTTTGAACCCAGCACTCTCCCACCCCAAGCCTTGCCTGCGCGCCCCTCAGTCAGCTCCCGCCGCCAGCGCCGCCGCCGCTGCCGCAGTCCCGCCCTGCACAACTCGGTAGAAGTCCCAGATCCCAGGGGAGGGGGCGGGGCGGGGCGGGGCGGGGACACGAGTGCCCGCCTCACACACCTCCCTAGAGGTCGCTGCCCCCACTCCTTCCCTAGAGACTCTGACGCACTTAGGTCAAAGCCCCTCTTGTGGCTTCTGGGAAGCCCCAGGCTCTCGTCAGGGAAGGAGCTTCCCGACCAATCCAAGTGGGTCACGGAATGACCCGACGAGTGACCGCTGCAGCCCGATGGGTGGACAGGTTCCTTCAGACCTGGGGGTATCTGTGCCAAGGTAGGGGGAGACTGCAGCTGGAGATGAGTCACCCCCAACCTGGTGGGGGTGCCCAGACAAGCCTTAGGCCAAGAGTCCTGACTCACGCCGCGCCTGTGAATCAGCCATCCATAGGTCTGGTGGGCCTCCGAGGAGGGCCCCACCCCAACTTCCTTGACAGGCAGAGCAGCCCTCAGCAAACCAGGGGTTCTGGACCTATTTTAGGGACACCAGGCTCCATTGGACTGGATCTAAGAAATGCACTCCCTCCGCGGAGGGGGCAGCAGGAAGAGGAAGGAACCCATGTCATGCTCATGCTTATGTGTCCATCCCACTACCTCCTCCCACCCCCCATCATGCCTTGATCTCCTCCCAAGCAGATGCCATCCAGCTGTGTTTACAGTGGGGGCCTGTCCAGATGTGGAGGTTAGGACCACCCACGGTGACAGCTCATCCCTCAGAAATCCATCTCCTGCTGCCTGTGCCCCAGGGGGCAACCTGGCCAAGCCTCAAGCCAGGGTCCCCACCTATATGTCCTCATTCTGGCCTGGACTATCCTCCTTCAGCTGCGCTTCTAGATCCCTTCCACCCAACCCCCACTGGGCTGAGGTCACCCTGGGCCCTGTCTCCTTTTCTTACTGTCTCAGGGTACCTGTAGCTCCCACTTCATAACTGCCTGGCTCCTCTCCCCTAATCAGCCTGACTTCTCAGCCCTCTCCTCTGACTGATGTGTCTCCCATCCTGGTCCTCCAGTCCAGCGCCGCTGTCTTGAAGGAGTTTTTGTATATGCGTATCTCTTTATTAGGAGGGTGATGCCATGGCAGAGACACAGTTCCAGAAAACCAGCCTCCCAATTGAGCCCTGCCCGTCTTCTTCCCAATCCGGTCCGGTGTATTCTGGGCATGGAGAAAGCAACTCTACACTCACCACTACTACTAGGCCCTTACCTGTTTGCCTGACTCTGCAGCCTACCTCCCCTGGGATCTAGGGACTGAGTGGGGAGATGGGGACAGGACGGCAGATATATTTGTCTCCCTAGAGTCCTCCAGGACTGAAGACTCTGGTGTGACCAGACCTGGGGGCAGTGAGGCCCACCCAGCACTGCCAACTCTCTTGTTGCCTAGGGCTGGAGCTACCCCTTATCCTGACTTCCCAACACACCAACTGTGTTGGGACATGATGCTGTGACCTCAGGGGATCCAGAACCTTTTTCCAAGGACAGGATCTCCTCAGCTGTCCAGGATCTCCCATCCCTGGAAAAGTTACTCTAGACCATGCTGTCATGACAGAGGCAGGGTCAGTCCCCAGAGCCATCACCTCCTGCTCAGCAAGGGAAGGTGAGAGTGGCAGGCAAGCAGACAGCACACACAGGACGGATACCCATACATGGTGGGCCAACCCAAGGCAAGAGACCCAGCTGCGAGTGTGGGTGTTTGGGTAAAGCTCAGCAGAACCGAGGAACCCTCAGAAAGGAAGGGCAGCTATGAGGGACCACTCGAGGGGTTGGGGAAGCTTGTTGGGCAGGGAAAGCAAGGTTCCTCAGGGATGAATGTGTCTGTAGCTCCTATGAGGCATGAGGCATGAGGCTGAACAGGGGTGCAGCCATCTGAAGGTTGGCAGGTGGATCCTAGCAGACAGCCTCAAGCACAGCATTGGGGCCCAGTGCCTACCTGCAGCTCCTCCCATCAGAGCAGTGGGCCCACCAAAGACAGACCTCCCTCCTGTACTTCCTTGGACATTCTCTTCCCTTGTCAGCCACCAGTTCTGTCAGATGACACCAGCTCCTCCTCACATCTAAGGGTCCTGTGCATCTCAATTCCACACCAGAACCACAGCAAAAGCTGAACAGCTGCCCCTCCAACCCACTCCTCCCTCTGGCTCTCCCAGTATAGCTGGGATGCTATTCTCTCTTTTTTTTTTTTTTTTTAATTTAAAGAAAAGGAAACAAGGGCTGGAGGTTTAGCTCAGTGGCATAAGTGCCTGCCTTGCAAGCAGGCAGTCATGAGTTCGATTCCTGGTACCAATAAAAAGGAAAAAAGACAAAAAAAAAAAAAAAAAAAAAAACCACCTCTTAAAAAAAAAAAAAAGAAAAGGAAACAAACAAACAACAACAAAAAAAAAAATACATGGAGATAAAAAAAAAAAAGGGTAGAAATAATACATTGGGAATAGAGGCTGCATAAGACTGTACAACCAGCACAGAAACCCAGCCCTAGAGCCCCAGTGCCAATAGACCTCAGCTCTGGGCCTCCTCTTCACAGTGAATTCTGGTGGATCTCCCCAGCATGTCTCCAGGGAAAAGAACCAGACAAGACTGGATCACTCCTAGGAGCTCCAGCCCTCCTGTATCCAGTGCACCTATGGCACTGGGGTCAGGTATTGACCTAGAAGGGAAATCCAGCCCCATCCTCCAAGATCTGGAACTCAGAGCAACATGCCTGCCATTATTTTCCCTGCCTGGGTGCCACAATGCTATAAACAGCCAGGGTTGGCCTGCCAGGATCCCACACTGCCTGACAGCTTTTCTACAGCAGGAAATGACCCAGAGCACTGTCCTAGGCTTCTGGTGATTGACAGATCTCATGTAATTGACAAACCTGTGGCAGGAAATAGTTGTGAGGGAAAGGAACCTCAAGAAGAGTAACTCCAGGCTGGTTTGGGCTACTTTTCCACTAGGATGCTAGGGAGACTACTGAAAACCCCTTTCTCAATGACCTTGATCCAGGGTTCTGCTTGTGATCACCAGCCAGCAACTTCCTCGAAGGACTGGGGCCCTTTCTTCCATCCCCCCCTTGAGCTCCCCAGGAAGCTGAGTGTAAAAGGAATAAAGCTGTGCAGAAAGAAGGGCCTGACAACTGGCCCTGGGGATCAGGGCCCACAGGGGTACAGGACCAGGTGGCTGAGGTTCTGACTGCCTTAGGCAGACGATGGGAGCGGGGCATGGGGCCAACAGCTCAGGACTTGGTACAGACCCAGTTGAGGGAAGGGGCTCAGGCCCCACTGAGCTCACGACTATTCTTAGAACCTGAGTCAGTGGCAAAGAGGCAAAGGATTCTTTTCCTGCCTGCCCAGGCAGCAGTTAGAAACCAGAGGAGCATACTGCCCCGGGCCATCCTCTCCAGATTCAGAATAAACACCAGAAGAAGGCTTCCTCTGAGGGAACCCTCAGCCCCTCTGATCCATCCCAGCAGACCACTCACGAAGGCCACTGCACAGGGGTTTGCAGGAAAGACTTTCCATCCAAGTTCCCAGTTTATAGGATGGAACCCCCACTTGGACACAAGCAGGGGCTGCAGTTCCCACGGCCACCCACGCCCCACTCTTGGGACAGACTGGCTTAGGAACATCCCTTCCCCCCCACCCCCCGCTGAGTGCAAACATCTGGGCTCAAACATCAACGCTTGCCCCTGGCTGAGGACACAGCAGCCCAGGAGGAAGGCAGGAGGATGCGGGACTGTGAAAGCTGAGGGAAGCTCTATTCCCCACCTACTGCCCAAAAGACTTTGTGCCAGTGCTCAAGGAAGGACAACACACTTCTCCACAGGACACTTTATTGGTGGTGGGTACAGTGCTGCAGCCGGAGGAGCTGGAGTGCTGTCTGTGTGGGTGACCAGGAGCCCCAGCCCCACCCTTCAGCCTGCACAGGCTTCCTGCCTAAAAGCGCAGCCAGAACATGCCACTGCGGATCCGGTTGTAGTCTGGGAGCTGCTCGATGGGGCCTGTGGGGATCCAGGGTGGGGCATCAGGGTGTGGTGCCTGGCCTGCACAGGGACATCTGGCCTCATGCCACACCCAGCTCAGAGCTGTGCCCAGAACTGCACAAGACAGCCTTTGAGCAAAGAGAGAAGAGAACGTGCCCTTTGGGCACAGAGCCTGTCCCTTCATGCTCTGGCCTTGGCACTCCAGCCCACGCCCAGAGTACCCGTTACCCGGCAGGTGAGGACACTGATGGAGGCACCTTGGCAGGCAGTCGGGGAGCTGCTGGGACAGGTCTTCTAAGCCAGAACTCCCAGCAGCTAGGCTACGGGGAAGCTTCATGGGGCCCTCAACATGGGACCCTCAACTTGCTTTTTTCACAGTGCAGGCTGGGGGCAGGGAGCCCAGGTAGAAGGGGAGGCTAAACAACGGCTAAGGAAAACACAGCAGACCTGGCCCACTCACCAAATCCTGCCACTGCTGGACACTGGTCGTAGAAGTATTTGGAGCAGACCTCACGGATCACTTGGGCATCCACCTCCTTCAGGGAGAAGCAAAAGGAACGTGGCTGATGGGCACCACAGCACCTCAGCCAGGGAACCTGCTACAGCTGACCAAGGTCATCCACATGCCCTACAAAGCCACCCCCAGCTGGAACAGGGAAAGGCAGCAGAGTATCCACAGCCCCTCTGTGCCCGCACCAGATGCTGCCTCCCTGCCCAGACTATGCCAGCCCTACAGGTGACAGCTGCCTACAACCAGAGATGGCAGCCTCTGTTCTGTCGGGCCCCGCCACCCGTTCCAGTGGTAAGGGACTCTAGAATTGCTCCTGAGGACCCACGTTACCGCAATTCGGCTCTCCCATTCGGCCAGGGGGATGCGGCGACCATAGGTCAGGAGGCTGCGCCCAATGTCCTCACACACAGGAGTG